GGATTAATGCTAGCCTTGTTGGGGTGAGATGATATCTCATTGTAGTTTTGATCTGCATTTCTCTAATGGCTGATGATCGTGAGCATTTCTTCACGTGTCTGTTAGCCACCCGAATATCTTCTTTGGTGAAGTGCCTGTTCATATCCTTTGCCCATTTTTTAATTGGGTTATTTGTCTTTTTTTTTGTTCAGGTTTTGCAGTATCTTGTAGATTTTAGAGATTAGACGCTGATTGGATTCGTCGTAGCCAAAAATTTTTTCCCGGTCTGTAGGTTGTCTTTTTACTCTTCTGGTGAAGTCTTTTGATGAGCATAAGTGTTTGATTTTTAGGAGCTTCCATTTATCTAATCTCTCTTCTGATGCTTGTGCACTGTTATGGTTCGTATTGTGTTTATGCCATGTATTAGGGCTCCTAGCGCTGTCCGTATTTTTTCTTCCATGATCTTTATCATTTTTGATTTTATATTTAAGTCTTTGATCCAGTTTGAGTTAGTTTTTGTGTGTGGTGTGAGGTATGAGTCTTGTTTCAGTTTTTTGCAGATGGATATCCAGTTATGCCAGCACCATTTGTTAAAGAGATTGTCTTTTCCCCAATTAATGGACTTTGGGTCTTTGTCAAATATCAGCTGCTCACAGGTGGATGAATTTATGTCTGGAGTCTCAATTCTGTTCCATTGGTCTATATATCTGTTGTTGCACCAGTAGCAGGCTGTTTTGAGTACTATGGCAATATAATAGGTTCTAAAATCAGGTAGTGTGAGGCCTCCCACTTTGTTCTTCTTCTTGAGTAATGCTTTACTTATTTGGGGCCTCTTCTGGCTTGGGATTTTTTATGCAGATATATAAAATAAAAGTTTAAGTAATGAAGACCTGTGCTGGTGGACGGAGTCAATGGTGAGCTAGCCCATTTCTGCTTGACCCTTAGAGATAAAGGTCATCTCAGAGTGGCTCATTTGACAAGATGCTTGGGTATACACAACACAGAAGTAGATCAGTAATAAATAAGGTAACCTTTATTTGTTCAGCAAATTCTGGGTTCCTAATTCATTCCAGACACAGTGTTAGGCTTTGGAGACTCAAAGAGGAAGAATGTAGAAGACTGCCCAGTGGGAGGCAGTGAACTGGTAGCAGAGACTTTCGGCTTAGTCCTTATTTAAATCCCACATTATCACTTTTTAGGTGTTAAGTCCTTGGGCAACTTGTCTAACTCCCTGAGCCACAGCTTCCTCATATCTGAAAAGAGAATAATATTTACCTGTAAGATTGTGCCTACGCAATGACCTGTTAGTTCAGTATTTGACACACTGTAATCAAGCAGGGGTGGTGGCTTTAAGAGCAGTCCACCATCTAATGGAATAATTAGATATATGAACAAATGACTATACTGTGAGTAAGCAGTTGTTCTAGGTCACAATCTTGAAAACCCTATGGAGCAGTTCCACTCTGCACACATGGGTCACCATGAGTCGGAATTGACTGCTTGGCATCTAACAACAACAACAAAGCAATTGCTTGTGATATGTAAGCGCTCTGGTGAGAGGTTTGTATGCACAGGTGCTTGGTGCCTTGCCCAGCAGAGGCTTGTGTTGAAGGCCTCTAGAAGGTGGTGTACTTTGGCCAAGACTTGAAGCCCATTAGGGATTAACTGGTAAAGAAAAGTGCATTCCAGGCACTGATAAGTCTCTACAAGGACACGAGGCATCTTATTTCTGAAACTTTGGGTTTCCCACTTGCCAAAGTCAGTAGGACATCCGAAAGCTTTGAGCTTTGCAACTGCTGCTAATGTTGGAGTGGGGAAAAGCCTGGAGAAGTGTAAAATAAGTTTCTTTTAAAAAGAGGTATTTTAAAATTCTGATGAGACCTCCAGAATAAGAACAGACCTTTGGCCAAGTATTTGCCTGTGAAGCTTAGTGATTTGTAATATCCTGAGAGAACTGATAAGAAGCCCTGGTGTGAGGCAGTGGTTGAGCACTTGGCTACTAACGAAAAGGTTGGCAGTTCAAACCTACCAGCCTCTCTGCAGGGAGAAAGATGTGACAGTCTGCTTCTGTAAAGATTATAGCCTTGGAAATCCTATGGCGCAGTTCTGCTCTGTTCTATACGGTTGCTATGAGTCAGAATCAACTCGATGGCGAAGGTTTTTTTTTTTTTTTTTTTTTTAAGGAATCTGATGCTGAATAGGTTTCAGCAGAGAGCTGCCAGACTAAGACATTCTGTTGTGCATGAGGTTGCCATGAGTTGGATTCCACAGCAGCTAACAACAAAGGAATTCAGTGGGAGCCAAGAATGATTCTTACCTCGTCCCCTGTGGTGGGATCTAAGTACACTCCCTGGCAACCCACCCAGTGGTTTCCCAGTTGCTGCCAAATTCCACTTTCAGAGGAAAATTATTCCATTCCTTTCTGACTCTCGGGAATAATAAACAATCGAGAATATCTCTATGTACTTTGAGGAGTAAATATCTTTTGGTATTTAATATTGCAGGGATAGTCAGGAAAGGAGCCTGCCATATTTTGATGCTACATAGAATGAAAAATCCAGAGGTGTAAGGTGTGTGTATTGCAGGGAAATACATTATATTAATGCTGAACCTAGTTGCAAGGGCTTACAATAACAAAATAATCCAAATAAAAGTCTGCGGTCACCTTCAGATACTTATAAAATTCTTTGATCAGATCCAATGGCAATATTCCAGAATCTGGTGTTTCCTGAGTTTTTACTGTGTTCAAAAGGCACTGTGCTTAAATGTGATTGATACCTTGTCATCTCATTTAATCGTCAAAACAACTTTATGGAAGAAGGCAGGAAGGGCCAGGAAAACTGGATGAACGGACACGGGGAACCCGGAGTAGAAAGGGGGAGAATGCTGACACATTGCGGGGATTGCAACCGATGTCACAAAACAATTTGGGCGTAAATGTTTGAATAAGAAACTAATTTGTGCTGTAAACTTTCATCTAAAGCACAATAAAATTAAAAAAAAAAAAACACTTTATGGAGTACATAGTTTTTTTGCAGGAGACTGAGGCTTTATGGAACTTTTAGTTGTCAGATCTGGGTGAGCCCAGGCAATCTGATGCCATTGTTCTTATCACTAACTAAAGCAGTACTACTTCCGCTATTGAAAAGTTATTCTATTTCAGAGAAATAATTTGTGGAATATTTTTATTTTCTACCTTGTTTCTATTCCTTTATGTTAAAATAACTCAATGATTTATTTGGATTTAGCACTTCATTAACTTTTTTTTTTTTTACCAGTTGCAAAGTAGTATGTAATAGTTTCAAGATTTTTAGATGAAATTTAAAATGTTGGGTCTGCTACATGAAATCTAACAGACTTTATGTTACGCGTCTAGGTGGCTGTGCTTTTCATATTTAACAAGGCATAATTTCAAGAGCTTGTTACTTCTCTAGGACGAATTCACTTACAGATCAGAATGGAGTCAGAAGGAAAGTAGAAAGGAAGGCAACAATGTGACTGTACTGTGTAGGCTATAAATGACAGAACCATTGAGAATGTACATTAAGGAAGAATAAACAGCTCTCTCATTAAAGAGCTATAGCAAAAATCAGTTCGAGCTGCTTAATTTCTTCTGGGGTTTTAACATTTTATGTTTAGGGAGGAATGAATTCATCAATTAAGAAGAGCCAGTGACCTTTGTCCTAGATTAGTGGTTTTTCCAGTGTAGTGCCCAGACACCAGCGCATCAGTATTAACTGGGAGCTTGTAAGAAATGCAAATTCCCAGGCCCTAACCCCTCCCCCCAAAAAACAAACCCATTGCCATCAAGTTGATTCCTACTCATAGTGACCCTGTATGGAAGCAGACTGCCACATCTTTCTCCCATGGAGTAGCTGGTGTGTTTGAACCACTGACCTTTAGCTTAGCAGCCAAGTGCTTAACCACTGTGCCACCAGGGCTTGGGGCCTAACCCTAGATAAAATGAGACTGGTCATCCTAATGGGTAGAGGGAGGGAAGATGGGGCAATTACTGTGGATAATTATTACACCTAATCACATCAGGGGAGCTCTGGTGGCAGAGTGGTTAAGAGCAGGGTCAGCAGTTCAAATCCACCAGCCACACCTTGGCAATCCTGTGGGGCGGTTCTACTCTGTTCTGTATGGTTGCTATGAATTGGAATTGATTCGACAGCAACGAGTTTGGTTTTTTGGTTTTAATCACATCAGGATGAAAATCAGATAATCAAGATTTTTCTTTGTAATGCATTCTGGTCTTGTTAAACTAGGAATAACACCTTTTATGTGTTTGTAAAAATGCTGATTTGACTGATATAAAAAGGCATTCATTGCAGGTTGCTTGTATTTAATAAGCCCAATAAACGTTAGATGGTAATTTTCTATATGTTATATTTTTCTTGCATTTCTTCCCCTTTTAAATTATAGGCTAAATAATACCTATGTCTCTTGGGGCTGTTTCTTTAGGTTAAAAATGTTTCTGCAGGCACACAAGACATGCCCCCACCACCATCTGACTATGTGGAGAGAGTTGACAGTTCCATGGTATATTCTTTCAATGGTAAAGTGAATGACAAGCGGTCCTACCCAGATTCTTCCTACAAATCAACACCGTAAGTAGTATCTTGTGCCATTAATTCTGCTTTAAAAATATCCAACTGTGGAGAGAGTTGACAGTTCCATGGTATATTCTTTCAATGGTAAAGTGAATGACAAGCGGTCCTACCCAGATTCTTCCTACAAATCAACACCGTAAGTAGTATCTTGTGCCATTAATTCTGCTTTAAAAATATCCAACTGTGTTAAAGCTGAAGACTGATCTTTGCATTTTATGTAGAAGCTAGGGCTAGTTCCAAGACCAGGATGAGGAGGATGGGGTTGTGAGTTGGTGGGGCCTTCTTCCTTTCTAAACTGAAAATGCTTCTTTTCACTTGTGGTTTAACAGAGGGAGCCCTAGTGGCACAGTGGCTAAGAGCTCAGCTGCTAACCAAAAGGTCGGCAGTTTGAATCCACCAGCCGCTCCTTGGAAACCCTTTGGGGCAGTTCTCGTCTGTCCTTTAGGGCGCTATGAGTTGAAATCAACTGTAATGGGTTTGATTTTGTTGTTGTTTTGGTTTAATAGAGAAAGGCAGGGTTGGGTCCTTTCACTCTAGAAATGTGGCTGTCTTTGTGCTCTCTTTTCTGTTTCTGGTTTTGAGGTTTAGGTGTGGATGAAACAAAGTTACTGATTGATAGCAGAACTAAGCGTGATTCTCAGTCTCCTTCTGCCTTTATTTATTAGATCTTCTTAGTAGAATAGGGAGATGCTTGTTGATCAACCCTGTCCATCTTTTAAACTAGAAGACTTCATGTTGAAGTCAGCAATTCTGGCATCTCATTTGCCAGGCTGCTGTACTATGCCTTCCATGTTGCTGGAGAATATATGCAACTGATAATGCCTCTAGGTTTTGTTTTATATGTAGTTTGTATTTTATGTAATGTAAAATACCTCCCAGTGAGTGTCTGGCCTATAGCAGATGCAATTATGCTTATTGAAATGATATCCCCATTGTGGGTTTAGTTTACCCAAAGCCCAATCTGATTCAACCTAATGAACGATAGTGAGAGAAGGATGTTGGAGATATTGTTAAGGACTTTGATATAATTTATGCATAAGGATGATAAATTAGAGCTCCTGTATATAATTCTAAGGAACCCTGGTGGCGCAGTGTTTAAGTGCTCAGCCACTAATCAAAAGGTCGGCGGTTTGAACCCACTAGCCACTCCATGGTAGAAAGATGTGACAGTCTGCTTCCATAAAGATTACAGCCTTTGAAACCCTATGGGGCAGTTCTGTAGGGTCGCCGTGAGTCAGAATCGACTCGACGGCACACAATGACAACATATATAATTCTAAGGAGCCCTGGTGGCACAGTGGTTAAGCACTTGGCTACTAACTGAAAGGTAGGCAGTTTGAACCCATCCAGCGGCTCCGTGGGAGAAAGACATGGCACTCTGCTTCCATAAAGATCACAGCCTAGAAAACCCTATGGGGCAGTTCTACTCTATCATGTGGGGTTGCTATGAGTTGGAATTGACTTGGTGGCACACAACAACAATATATAATTCTGGAACTCCAAATCCCTTTGGAGACCAAACAAATCTTCCCTTTAGATAGCTTGATTGTTCTGAGTTAAAGGTGTGTCCACTGGAAAGATTTTTTATTTCAAAGTTTTACCCCCTATCTTCCCACCCCCACTACCTGAGTGCATAGTAGTTCTGACTTAAAATGCCAGTAAGATGATACTAGCAGCTGAATTAATTATGGAATAAGTTTGAAGACAATAACCAAAAAACCAAACCCATTGCCATTAAGTTGATTCCAACCCATAGAACTGCTCCATAGGGTTTCCAGGGAGCAGCTCTGGTGGATTGGAACTGGTGACCTTTTGATTAGCAGCTGAGCTCTTAACCACTGCACCACCAGGGCTCCTTGAAGACAATAGGCTTTATTATTACACTGGAATGGAATTTGGAAACTGAACAGACTGGCAGTCTGCCTTAACCCCCATATGTTTTGTTTTGGTCTTCAGAGTTTACCTTGTTCATTCATACCCTTTAGCACCACCCCTCCCCTTCCCGTCTTCTGGGTTGATTTCAGTCGTGAATAATTTGGAACAAGGGTGTTCTCTCTGTACTCCTTTCTTCTCTTTGGATTTTGACAAAAACTAAAGCATCGAGGCTATTAGGGGCAAAGGTACACAGTAGAGAGGCAGTCCTTCTAAAAATTTTAAGGTGTAATTTGAATGACCTTTCAGCATACAAAATAAATACCTAGAATGCATCTTTTGACCAGCTCTGCCTCTAAATTGTAAGGTCTGCATGGTTACATAAACCTTACGAGGATGCTGACCTTTTTCATGAAAACCAAGAAAATATTTTCACAAATTTATTTAAAGTAATTTTAAAGCCTTACTTTTTCTTGAATAAGCCAATATATTTGTATAGTATGAAATTTTAAAGGTACGAAAGAGTACCTTTTATACCCAGCTGCCTGACTCCTGTCCTAAGAGGCAACCAGGGTTACCAGTTTTGTTTTGTTTTTTAATATCCTTCCAGAGATGTTTTATAAATATGCTGGCCAGATGTATATATTGATTCTTGTTTTTCCTTAAAAAAAAAAAAAGAAAGAAACTAACATATGAAACAGATTGTTAGCTATATATCTTTGAGATTGTCCATATCAGTATACAAAGAGTTTACTGATTCTATTTTATAGCTGCATAATATTCTATTGAATGGATATTCTGTAATTTATTTTACCAGTCCTATTTCAATGCACACTTTTCCTAACGTTTTGTTATTATGAACAATGCTGCAGGGAGTAATCTTGCATGTTTATCACTTCACACATATGTGACTATATCAGGAGGAAAAATACTAGAAGCAGAATTGCTGGGTTAAAGGAAATGTGTATTTGTTGTTTTGATAAATGTAGTCAAATTGAACTCCATAGGACTGTACCAGTTTATACTCCCAGCGTACACCCCAGAACTTTTTTGAAGGTCTAGAAAATGCAAATATGGTGCTTAGTTTTAGAACCAGAAGAAGTGGTGGCGCTAAGGGATATGAACGAGATGGTATCTCTCACAGTTCCTGACACATGGGGTAATAATGGGAGCAATTTACAGCTCTAGGGATTTTGTAATAGAAAATGTCAAGTGTTGTCCGTAGAAGGGTACTGAGAATTCAGAGGACATCCATTTGGATGGGAATAGATGGGTAATAAAGCATAGCCTGTCTTTCTTAAAGGTGCTTAGTTAATGCCATGAGCACCTCTCTCCTCCTTGCTATTGTATTGGATAGAGTAGGAATTAAATAATGGAGACCATTGTGTCTAAGGTCCCTGTTAAGGATGAGGTACCTTAAATACTAAGACTTTTCCCCCAAAGCATAACATACATTCCATAAAGAGCACTAATCTTGAGTATACAGCTTGATAAGTTTTCACGTTTGTGAACATTCAGATAATCACCAGCACTCCAAGATAGAAATTCCAAACCTATTCTCTGTCAATACTCATTCCTCTTGAGGTAAAAACTATTTTGACACCTATAACCATCTATTAGTTTAGACTATTCTTGGAATATTATTTTATTTGATAAAATGAAATCATATTGTAGTTACTCTCACGTCTGCCTTCTTTTGCTCATCATAATATTCTATACCTTAGAATTTCAAGGCAGTCTGCTAATTAAAAATAACCCTATTATGAGGGAGGGGAGAGGTGGGGGGGGGGGACACTAAACAGACAATAGATAAGTGGTAACTTTGGTGAAGGTTAAGACAGTACACAATACTGGGGAAGCCAGCACAACTTGAACAAGGAAAGGTCATAGAAGCTCCATAGACACAACCAAACTCCCCGAGGGATCGAATTGCTGGACTGAGGGCTGTGGCGACCATCGTCTCGGGGAAAATCTAGCTCAATTGGCATAACATAGTTTATAAAGAAAATGTTCTACATTCTACCTTTTGTGAGTAGCGTCTGAGGTCTTAAAAGCCTGTGAGCAGCCATCTAAGATACACCACTGGTCTCATCCCTTTGGGAGCAAGGGAGAATGAAGAAAACAAGATACAAGTGAAAGATCAGTCCAAAAGACTAATGGACCACAACTACCACAGCCTCCACCAGACTGAGTCCAGTACAACTATATGGTGCCCGGCTACTACCACTGACTGCTCTGACAGGGATCACAACAGAAGGTCCCAGACAGAGCTGGAGAAAAATGTAGAAAAAAATTCTAACTCACATAAAAAGACCAGAATTCCTAGCCTGACAGAGACTGGAGAAACTCTCAGAGTATGGCCCCTGGACACTCTTTTAGCTCAGTAATGAAGTCACTCCTGAGGTTCACCCTTCAGCCAAAGATTAGACAGCCCCATAAAACAAAACGAGACTAATGGGGCATGACAGCCCAGGGACAAGGACTAGAAGGCAGGAGGGGACAGGAAAGCTGGTAATAGGGAACCCAAGGTCGAGAAGGGAGAGTGTGGACATGTCGTGGGGTTATTAACCAATGTCATAAAACAATATGTGTACTAACTGTTTAATGAGAAACTACTTGTTCTGTAAACCTTCATCTAAAGTACAATAAAAATAATAATAAAATAACCCTAGATTAGAAGAGATGAGAATTTAACTGAAGATGGTTGCTTCTGTACCTTTTCTAAGTCAATTTGGGAGAACCCTATTAGGTACTGTAAAAATGGCAGCACAGGGGCATCTGACCTCCTCTGACTTCAGGATGTGGAGGAAAGAGAATCACCATCAGTGTCAGCCCAAAGCTGATTCCTGTGAAGCAAAAGTCAGACATACATCCTCTCTCCAACCTTTTTACCGATTCCGACACCAGCCATCCCTCTCACAGCATTCCCTACTTCTCTGCTGGATTTGATAATTTGTTGCAGTGGCCACACAGAACTCACAGACAATACTCATAATTATGGGGTTTATTAGGGAAGTAACAGGTTACAGTTCAGGATCAGGAACGACTTCAATCAAGACAGCCTCTTCTCAGCCATATCCACAGGCAGGCCTCTCTCTGGCCCCTCAGGCCTCTTGGGCCAGCCTAGCCTCTCCCTGCTCAGACAAGTGTTATAAAGCTCTTTAGCTTCGCCAGTAAGTGCCTGAGGGCACCCCACTCTGCCAGGAAGCCTTGACCTGAAGGTGCTCAGCTCTCTTGCTCCGTGGGTCGGCATGCCCACTGTAGCCACCTTGCTCTGTGAGCTGGGAAGCCCACTGCACCATCTCACGCCAGTCTCCTGGTTCTGCTGCCACTGTTTCTCTTCCACTGCTTCTCACTGTCTTGTGCCATTTTTGGTGTTACAGCTTTCTCTCTCTGTCTCCTGGATTTAGAAGATTCTTAGCACGGGGACCGTGGGTCCAAAGGATACGCTCTGCTCCTGTCTCTTCTTCCTGGTGGTAGTGAGGGCCCCCCTCTGCTCTGGGATTGGCTCTCTTTTAAGCCTAGCACAATGGCAAAACTGACCAATCCCCTCATTAGGGTTCCATACACCTTATTTGCATGATCCCACCCCTGCAGGGGTTCCATTCACCTTATTTGCATTATTAGCAAGCTGTTCAATCCCCTTGGTAGGCCACAAGATCTTTTTTGCATAGTCCCACCCAGTCATTTTGTAGGAGTCACAAGACCATGATGAGAAAGGCCGTATAAAAGCAATTCATCATACCGCAAGTATACTGCCTAGTATCCTGTTTTACCCCTAGGGTGAATTAACCTTTATAAATCAAGACATAGGAAGTTGAATGTTCCCATGATGTAAAGCTATCAAGGCAAGCTGACTCTTAATTAGAATGCCAAATGAGACCATTGTTTGGTAGTACTAGGCTGATAGGATAATCTATTAGGACTTTTATACAAGGTATAAAAGTTATACAAGGTATAAAAGTTAGAGAAGCCCAGCTCAAACTAAGCTAAAAGAGGAAATCACTGGCTCACATAAGGCTCAAGAATTGATCTTATTTTACATATGGCATGATCCAGAGGCTCAGAAGATAATCAGGACTCTTTCAAGCTCTCTTCTCTTGGTATGTTGACCTTATTCTCAGTCCAGCTTCTGTTGTGGCAAGATGGCCATCCACATTCATCCAGCTCCACTGATGCTGTAGCTCAGGATTCAGAAAACAATTCCTTTTCCAAAGCTTACCTATCAAATCTACTGGAGGGATTCTGACTGGCCCTTTTTAAGTCCCTGTCATCCCTGAGGTTGGGATGATAGATTTCTCTGATTGTCAAGGTTTGAATATGCCCTAAAATGTTCTAAAATGCCACGTAAAATAATGGACGTCATTTAGTCATAGCACTGATGTTGATTATGTAGTGTTTCCCCTCCCTCACTGATAATGTGTGTTATCAGAAAAGGAGGACCCTTGTGAATCAGTTCGGTAATTATCTTGAACACCTACCTGCCATGAACAATAGTTGGCCAGATGCCCCGGGGAATACCAAGTTCATGTTCTCATCTAGGTTTCAGTTTAGCAGGGGTGGAAGACAGTGCACAATGACTACACTGAGAGTTAGGGCAAGATAGAAGCAGCACAGGTGTGTGTGTGTGTAGGGGGAAGGGAGAACAAAACAAATGAATAAAGAAGAAAAAAGAATGAATTAAAAAGCTACAAAAGGGCAGGCTTCTGGACCTGAGTCAACGAGGTCAGGAATGCATATGAGTGAAGAGGGGAGCCAAGCAGTATAGGGGTGGTTGTTTTTTCCGAACTGTACAGATTTTTGGTAGGACTTATGTCTAAAAATAGGTTTAAAGGTTGTTGAGAATCCATGTATTCCCTAACTCTTCACCTACATATACTTTACTTGCAAGGTAAGGATTTCTAATATCAGTATGTATCTAAGATCATAAAATTAAGGCAGGAGGCCACTTTAATTAGTTCTTTTGTGTTTTGGTTATGTTTTGTTTTTCTATTTTGTTTTGCTCATTAGCTTCCTCCCCACCTGGCCGCTGGCCCCATTTGTTCTATTACCTCGAAGCAAAGAGTATAGTACCTGGCAGTTCTGGCAGCGTGTCAAGGAACTTGTTAATCATTGTTCATGGAGAAAGTCACATTCCATTAGAAGCAGTATTAACATAGCCTACAAAGCTACATTACCTGAATAAACTTAGAAGAAATAAATACCACCCCACCTCCAACTACACAGAACCCAAAGCTTTAGGGTCTACAAGAAATTAACAAGTGTAATTAGAAATCTAAGACTCTGAGGACAGAATCAAGTGGCTCTGGATTACTAAGAAAACAGAGAATAAACCTGGTCAATACAGTTGCTGTAAATTGAAAGCAGTAAGGGGGAAAAAAAGGTCTAAACTCTTTTTTTGCTCTGGACATTTTCAATAGTTGATTTAGATGTTCCTATGAGTTGGAACCTACTCAATAGCAACTGAGTTTTTTGTTGTTGTTGTTGTTTTGTTTGTTTTAAATAGCAAGGCTAAGGCTTGGCAACCCTCGGGCCCTTTCTTTGGTCTTTCATTTTCTGTTTTTGTCCTTCTTTAGCTCTACTGCGGAGCCCTAGTGGTGTAGTGGTTAAGCATTCAGCTGCTAACCAAAAGGTCGGCAGTTCGAATTCACCAGCTGCTTCTTGGGAACCCTATGGGGCAGTTCTGCTCTGTCCTGTAGGGTCGCTATGAGTCGAAACCGACTCAACTGCAACGGGTTTTGGTTTAGCTCTGCTACACAGGAAACTTAAGCTTTGCATTTCTATTAGTCAGTAGTAGTTTACAGTTGCCACATAATAACAACACCTGGAATTTTATCCCTGTGTTAGACTTAGTTTTCATGCTTGTAGCAGAAATATTACATACAATTAAAAATCTGATACAATATTAAACAGTTACATTAGAAAAATAGTAAGTGTAAGGGAAACTTCCATTTCATCCATTCTACATGGCTTCAGGATTAATATAGCAATTTACAAAGAATCCTTAATGAGCTCTTTAATTCATTAAAATATAAAGCTTTTACCTTTTTTTAGATTTTTAAATATTTCATCTGGAAAAGAGAATTGATATATGGTAGTCTAAAATACATTTTATTTTACAAAGTCTTTCAAAGAACTTGTTTGAGAGTCAGGCTTCCAGAGGTAGATATGTAAGTGCATTCCTCTTCCCTACTCAGAATTTCTTGGAACTGGAAGAACATGTAGAAAAGAATCATGATTGTTATTTCTTGACAGCCTTCTGCGTAGTAAGTATCTGGCACGGGTCAGATAAACACCTCTTCCAAGTCAGTTGGAACTTCCAAAAATGAAATCTTTGATCCGTTTTATAAAGAATGGTTAAATCAGAACCTTAAAGCTGCTGGTGTGTATTAGAGGACTGAGCTGGCGCTAAATCAAATACAGGAAACTAGGGATCTGCTCAGTGTTGAAGATATGAACTCCTTGAATGAGTTCACCTACATGTGGATGTCTCTTGGTGTTATTGTTGCTGGTTGTCGTGGTTACAGTGCACTGGCAGAGGATTGTAGTGTACCCGGTAGTCACTGGAAAATGATTCCTGTTTTATTAGGGTGCCTGAGGTGGCTCAGGAGCTTCCCCTGACTTCACCTGTGGATGACTACAGACAGCCTCGTAACAGCAGCAGCGGTAACTTTGAGTCACCTTCAAAAGTGGCTTCCACGAAGGGAAGAGCAGGGAAGTCAAGTAGAACAGAACAAGACCACTATGACACAGACTATACAACAGGCGGCGAGTCGTGCGATGAGCTGGAGGAGGACTGGTTCAGGTACTGAGTCAGCACTCTTCTTGCTGGAGCCACTTTCCCATTCTGATTATTAACATGGGCCAGCCAGATTTGGAGTTGTTGCCTCCAAAGCCGAGTCCATGATGTAGTCTCATTCTCTGCCAAACAGGACTGGAGACAACCTGTGCCCCCAGTAATCTTTCATAGTAATGACTGAGGTGGCGGGGCGGGGGGATGTATTTGGCTATAACCACGTCTTAAAATCATTTTCAGCTTCCCCACCAAATGGCTGATAAACTTCACCAGTGCTCTTGCCTCTTCCAAAAGTCACCCAAGAAAAGTCTTTCAGATAAATACAAGTATAGGGAACTTTGTTTTACATAAAGAAGTTACTGATTATCAGATTCCCAGACCAGTACTATGGCTTTCCTTGGCAATTACTCTTAAGTTAAGCTGTCATGCTAAGACCAGAGTTTCTCTCTTAAAAAAAAAATTGGGTGACAATATACTAAACAAATGTACTCTATTTCAACAATTTCTACATGTACAATTCAGTAACAGAGTTTCTTTTTAAAAGTTTAATCCAAAGAACTTTGGTAAAGTTTTATAAACAGTTGAGGTAACAATGTACTGTTCTGGCCGAGGTTGTGGTTAAGTTCCTTTCTGTGTCAGCGGTTTTATTCTAATCCACCATCTCAAACTATACTCAGGTGTGATATGTAGCCTTTTTATACCTAAGTGTTTTGAGGAATAGGACACAAATCAGAAACAGTGGCTAACCAAACCGTTGCTTCTTAAGGTGTTGGGAGGAATGAGTGGACACGGATAGCTTGACACCCCCATACTCACTGGTGATTCTGATAACTCATCTTCCCCCTTCCCCTCAAGAGTCATTGGCCTAGTTCAGCCATCTGTCTGGGAAATATTTGCATAGCTTGTATCTAGAAGGAAAATTTAACAGAAAACTTTTAGGAATCCTGAATTCTTGTTTCCTTTTTGAACAAATCATTTCACTTCTCTTCTCTGTAAAATGAAGATATTAGACGGACTGTTAGACCTAAAATTTGAAATTCCATATTGCTATGAAGCTCCTTAGCCCGGTGAAACAATTCAGAGTATTTTCTCAGTGGTTTGTGAGGCAGCAGCATCATGTTCATATGTAAAGAATAGCTGATATATTGAGAGGTGTTGATGATACAGATTTCAGCTTTTCTTCATACTTGAATGCATTTTTACAGTGAGTATATGTTTTTATACATGTACATTTTTACCTCTACTTTTATAGTCAAAGAACCAGAAATCTGTTTCCACTTAAGAAAAATAAGAAACCCTCCCCCTCAAAAAAAAGTTTGAAAATTAGGTGATAGCAGGAAGCAGCCAGGTTGCCAGTCAGCTGCTTTGTCACTGCAGTAATCAGAATACTTCATGCTCCAGAATTCCAGTTTTAAGACTTTAAACACAAGTATTCCATTATCATGTGGTGTTGTGTATTCAAAGGAATGAGTTCCTATGACTTGAACCTTAAATTTCATAAATAGTTTTCAACTTTATTTCTAATAATTGCGTAGGCATAGTTGCTTTAAAAAACAAAAAAAATAAGAGCAGTAATGTATAATCATTCTTAAAAGAATTTATTTGCATCCTGCCTTCTTCTCCCCATAAGCAGCAAAAAGAAAACAAGAGGATCTCATTTTCTATACCCCGCCAGCTTTATTATTTTTGAGGAAGAAACACTGGATTTTAAGTCATCTAGGGATACATAGGAGCTCTGGTGGCACAGTGGTTAAAGTGCTTGGCTGCTAACCAAAGGGTCAAGGGTTTGAGCCCACAGCCACTCTGTGGGAGAAGAATGTGGTGGTCTGCTTCCATAAAGATTACAGCTCTGAAAACCCTATGGGGCAGTTCTACTATGTCCTGTAGAGTCGCTATGAGTCAGAATCGATTCAACAGCAATGGCTAAAAATATATATGCACCATTTTCTCTTTTAATTTTTAGGGAATATCCACCTATCACTTCAGATCAACAGCGACAACTCTACAAGAGAAGTTTTGACATTGGCCTGCAGGAATACAAGAGCTTACAAGCAGAACTTGATGAGATCAGTAAAGAAATCTCTCGTCTGGATAAAGAGTTGGATAACTATAGAGAAGAAAGTGAAGAGTACATGGTAATCTCAAAACTGATATTTATAAATTACATAGAATTTTATCCTAATCCATAGAGATACAGTATCCTTTATACTAATGTTGATTTAAAAAAAAATTGCTGGTAATTATCAAACTGTAATTTCATTGAAGAACTATTGAAAATGAGTTGGATAAGTCTTTCCAAATTGAAGAGTGCAGATAAGAGGACAAAGCAATAGTCTATATATATCCCTTCCTGTTTAAAAGAAAACAGCCATGTTATTTATAAACATGATTTCTATTTACAAATATAATTCATTCTTTATGTAAAAAAAATTCAAACAATGCAAAAATATATACAGAAAAATAAATTATTTTAAATGGCATTACCCAGATAGCACCAAAATAACTAGTTTTTAAAACATCCTTTCCATGCAGGAGTGCATATATACATGTATACACACACACAGGCTTTGAGGTGGAACCGTCTTATATGTTTTACTTACGTCCTTCCTGCTTTTTTTTAAACTTAGTAGTAGTTTATGATTATCTTTTTTTTTTTCTTGATCACCTGGTTGAAGTAGTATTTGTTAGGTTTCTCCATTGTAAAGTTATTCTTTGTTCCCTCTTTCCATACTGTACTTTTTGGAAGTCACTATGTGCAGCCCACACTTAAGGAATGTGGAGTTATGTGCCACCTCCATGAGAGCAGAGTATCTACATAAATTATTTAGAATTCTTCTGCACAAGAGATTTGTATGTATGTATGTATATAGTCATTCATTCTATCATTCGTATCACCATGGACTCATGGATATCTATTTTATACTTTGGGTTATAATCCAGTACTACTTTACTTATTTTGATGCTCAGATTGTTCTTTGACCATTGGAAGCTCTTTCAGTTGGCTTCTGTGTCCCTTTGACATAACTCCATCATTGTGGGATTTTTGTTTTTCTTTTAGCACTTCCTTACTTTTTATCACTACTTATATCCTGCTTTTTTACTCAACAATAGCTTATGATTTTCTTTTCATGTCAATAATAAAGATCTACTTATTTAAAAAATAGCTACATAATATCCAATTTTATGGTTGTACCGTACTTAAAAGTCATCCTCTGTGGATAGACATTTAGGTATGTCTCACTCTGACCTTCCCCAAGTAGTACCACTAATACTCTGGTGAACTTTTCCATCTTTGTGCAATTGCCTGCTTATCTAGCCAGAACAAATTCCAGAGTATTAAGTTATGCAACATAAACCTTTGGATCCATATTGTTGCAAAACTACCCATCAGAAATTTTGTACCAATTGCATTCCCCATAGTAATGCACTAGGGGGCTCATTTGACCCACAGCTCACTAACATGTGCCTGAAAAGTTACTGCCTTGTGTGTTAGATACTAGTAATTAAACTTTCACATCACTTCATTTTATTGGAAATTCATATTAATGTGATTAAATGCCCTCTGCCATTTTGCTATAAGGTTGATCTGCCTTTCAGTATTGAAGTATTTGTTTCTTATATAGTTGGATTGTATAGTTTTCTTTTATGGTTTATGTATGGGGTTGTCATAAACCCTTTCAATTCAATAAACGTTTATTGATCACTTATTCTTTCCTAGATAGTATGAAAGTGCTGAGGTTAGAAAGAGAAACAAAACCCTGTCTCTGCCCTCAAAGATTTTGAGCTCATATTCGAAGAGAGAAACTGACATCTAAACTCCTTAGCCAATGTGGTAAATGCTGTGTTTGCATTATGTGCCAAAAGTACTGTAACTGACTGCTCAAGGAAGGCATAAAGCCTGCTCAAGGCCCTGGGGAGTTTAGGGGAAGTTAAGAATTTCTCCAGACAAAAGGAGGGGCATGATTACAGCCGTAAGGAGTGTGCAATCAGACATCTGGAAGCATTAATGTGCCTAGTTTTTAAAGGGATGGCAAATGATGGATATGGAGACTACAAATGTAGGAGACTAGATTTGTACAGAAGTTAAAGGAGAACTCAGCCAAGTTTTACAGTGGGATATAACCTGATCAGAGCTGTGCTTTAGAAAAGACCTTGCCTGTGTCTGGCGTGTGGACTGGCCTGGGGAGAGATGAGAGGCAGCAGAACAAATAGTTACTTGCTCATGTGAATGGAACATGACAAATATGTCATAAATGTTCCTTCTCCGGATCCCTTCAGACCTTCCAGCCTTAAAATTTCATTATTTTAATTCCCTCTCTTTTTGTCTTAAGTCAGCATTTTTAGATCCAAAGTATAGCATCAGGAATGTTCGTCTTGAGAGAAGTACCCTACTAAGTGTATATTCTCTGTGTTTCTCATTAATAGGCTGCTGCTGATGAATACAATAGACTGAAGCAAGTGAAGGGAGTAAGTATCCTGGATTGTAAGGTTCTCTCAGGAAAAACTTTTCTATTATGTGCTTTTCATTTAACCTTAGAATGGCTGTGACTGCCTTGTCATACCCTGATTATAGACAGAAGGCCTGTAATTGTGAGATGAAAACTGTAATTGAGAAGTTGGAACCTTAGCTTCAGTGGTTTGCAGCTACAACCAATGCTGATTATTTAAAAACTTTTTTTTAAGTTGAAGTATACATAAAGAAAAGTGCATCAATCATAAGTGTACAGCTTGATAAAATTTCACAAAATGACCACACACCTGTGTAACTGCCACCCAGATCAAGAAGTTAATTTCTTCGCAATACCCTCCCCACTTCCTCCCAGTTTCTTCCCTCTCCCCAAAGTAACCACTATCCTGAATTTTTTTTTATTGTGATAAAAATATATATAACAAAACATTTGCTATTTCAACATTTTTTACACATACATTCAGTGACATCAATTACCTTAATCACGTTACGTGGCCATCACCACTATGTTTCCAACACCCTTAATTAACAGAAGCTCAGTGCCCTTCAGCAGTGACTTCCTTTTCCCCCCAGTAACCACTAATAAACTTCGGTCTCTATGCATCTGCCTATTCTAGATACTTCACATAAGTTGGGTCATATAATATTTGTCCCTTTGTGACTGACTTATTTCACTCAGCATAATATTTTCAGGGTTCATCCGGGTAGCCTGACTTTTAACATCATAAATTTTGTTTGCCAATTTTGAATTTTATATAAATGGAATCACATAGTATGCATATTTTGAGTGGCTTCGTTTGCTCAGTATTACGTTTGTGAAGTACATTCATGTTGTGGCATTAGCTGTGGTTCATTTGTTTTATTGCTGTATAACACAACTTATTCATCCATTCTGCTACTGATGAACATTTGGGTTGTTCCTAATGAATACACCACAAACGTTTTGGCTTTGTAAGTAATGCAACAACAAACATTTTCATAAATGTTCTTTCTGTGCACATGTGTACATATACCTGGGAGTGAAATTACAGGGTCTTTGGGCCTTAATATATACTGTCAAACCATTTTCCAAAGTGGTTGTGTCAGTTTATATTTACATCCCCACCAAACAGTGTATATTCCTATTGCTCCATAGCCCCCCGACTCTGGGCATTGTCAGTCTTTATTGACTTAAAAACATTTTTTGTTTGTAAAAGATTTTAAACAGTTTAAAATCCTAAAACATCATAATTTTAAACACAGACTTCAAAAGGTTATGTAGTAAAATTTCTTATCTCTCTTACCCCCACCCCATCACACTATACTCCTTTCTCAAGTCAAATGATGTCACCAGTTTTTTATTTTAATGAGATTTTAGATGATGTCTTAGAAAAAAGGCCAATAAATATTCTTGGTCATTTGCAAATATTTAGAAATGAGTATATCCTTTGTGAAACTCAGGTTAAGATGATATGATAGAGGAAAGAGAATCAATTGTGTGCTTAGTGAATACTGCTATGTACCTTAAGTATGTTGCCTCATTTAACATTCCCAACAACTCTATTTGACTAAGTAGTATTCTCTTTTTTTCTTTTCACCTCTGTCTTTCAGGCAGCTAACACATGACCCATTTTTATTTTATTGAATTTATCTGATTCAGTTTTTTCCTCTTTAGTCTGCAGATTACAAAAGTAAGAGGAATTATTGCAAGCAGTTGAAGAGCAAACTGTCACACATCAAGAAGACGGTTGGAGATTATGATAAACGGAAAACATAGAACGCAGATGTCACCTTGTTTGAGAGATTAAGGAGTATCTGTCTGATGTCTCTGCAATGTTCTCATCAGGCAAATGACTTTGGACTCTTCACCTGGGAGGTCAAACCTTTGTGATCATTACAAAGTTTTGGGAACTTTAATATCATCACTATAATATCATCAGTATTGAAACATTTTATAAATAGCTTTTGAAAATCATCTGGGCTGAACACTCCAATTAAGGATTTTATGCTTCAAACATTGGTTCTTGCATTAAGAACTAAGTACTGTTTGAAGTTTTTAAATCTTAAAGGAAGGTTCTGGTGCGAACTGTGCTGTGAACTTTCACACCCTGGGTGTGTCTTAATGATGATATTTAAGTGCATTCACATAGGTGATCTCATTTAATCCTCCCCACTACTCTTCAGATAACTGCTATTTATAACCTTCCTTTCCAGATAAGGAAACTGTGTCCCTGCATTGAAGTCTCTAAAGTGAAACTGCTTGTTTGCTAGCATGCAGTTTTGGTGAAGTCTGTTATATGACTCCACTAATAAAGCCCTCGGTCTTTCATATTTTAGCTAGCATATATTGCATTCCACCAGTCTCCCTGACTGACTATATAAGTGGTTAAAAAGAACTTTTTCTTGTTTTGTGTTGTCCTAATAATAAAGACTATGTAAAATTAACCAACATGTGAAATTTAAAAATTGTAAATATACATTTAACTTTTATAAAATCAAAATTTAAACTTAGTGGTTAGAATTTTGTTGTGTATTTTAAAATACTTTCTATCTTTTATGGTTTACATTTTTTTTAACCCATTAGACTTTTCCATTATAACTGAGTATCTGATTACATATATAATTCAATTGTGACTTGAGTTGTATCTTACAGCAATTGTTCAGGTTCTGTACATATTTTATAAGGTATTAAACCTGATGTTTTCTTTCTGTATTATATCTGTTTGATGTCATTAGTGCCGTTAATATTAAGTTGTGGAAAACTGTACTCAGGAGATATATTTGTTGTTTTAAGCTATTTTGGGTGCTGTGCTGGTTGTAGTTTCCCAATCTTTTGGCTATAAGAAGGCTGATTTATCTGGAAATAGAATGCTATGCCATAAAACACCGAATTATTTCGATCTCAACATATATTTTTTTTAATTCAAATTCTTATTAGTAAAGTAAAATTAGCTGATAATACTGTGTATACAGCTAACCAAGTTACAAAGGTGATTATAATCATCCTCCCAGTTTTTAGAAATGTACTCTTATAAAAAGTTTTTGTTTTATCAAAGTCTGTTTAAGAATAATCTTTCATCTTTAGTATATAATTCAGACATCTAAGTATATAATTGTCTATATACAAGTCTGGATGATTTTTCAAAGACAAACTTAAAGAAATAATGTTTCCATTATAACACTGAATCATTTCTTCAAATTGAAGAAACTCTTAATTTTCTGCATGCTATAAATACTTAGTAATACAAAAGGTAATAATGCTTTTTATAGCTTTTGGATTCACACCAGATAGAAAAGACTCTTGAGCACCTTAACTGATTTTTATGTCTGTTAAATTTCCAACTCGATGTTCTTGGAAGTCAACGTACTTAGTTTATGAAGGCAAGTTTGCCAGTGTTCTGACAAGACAAAACTTTTTGGCTGAATGGAGAGAATATTATGGGTTCGCAATGTAAAATTGTGCCATAAAATTGGACTTGGAAATAAAAAAATAAAATCAGTTTTCAAATGTGGAACTTATACTAAACAGCACTTCAAGAATCAGGACTAAGGTGTTTCTCTTGGTGTTGACATTAACAAGCTGCATGTAACTTTGAAAAGCCACTCAGGTGGTTTCCTAGTCTGGAAAATAAGGGGCTTAGAATTCAGAGGTTTCTTCCATTTCTGACTTTCTGGGTTCTGCTTTCTGCTTTAAACCATTATTCCAAGGAGTTTGTTGTGACAGCATGTGGTCATCTGCTAAAAGTTTCACTGCATAAAGTGATGCCCACCCTACATATGTGATTATGTATTAAAAGTGGATAGGATCAATATTTTAATTTGAAATCTTTAAAGAAATGCAGAAAAGTATAAACATACATGCACCCACCACACAGAAATAAGAAGCATTAGTGTTTTGTCATATGTTCTTTGTATTTTTTGAAATAAAATTATTAGTATTTATAGTAGTAGTTAATATTTCATATATTAACTATATATGTAACTGTATATGTATGAAATCTCAATCCTCACAACAATCTTTTGACACAAAGCCATTATTTACCTCTTTCTCATATTACAGATAAAGAAACTAAGGATTTGATAGTTTCAACTGGCCCCTGGTCACACACTAGAAGTGGCTAATCTCTGAGGACTGGAATCTCAGTCTGTTTGACTATTAGGTTCTAAACTTCCATCCTAGGTTGACTTTGTTAATAAATTAATGGATTAGATCATTGAGATTGCTCTGGTTGATGTTAATAAAGTACCCTATTTTAATTTTGAGTAGATTTTAAATACCTGAACACAAAATACCTCATATTAAATATTAAGTATCTGTAAAGAGCTGAATGGGTATGTCTCTGGAAAGAGGAGTCAAGGCAGAAGAGTGCTTTAATCATGGCTCCAGGGACCTTAGCTACAGTTTGGGTTATGGGAGTTCCTCACACAAAGACATTCTCCCTACTTAATCACTGGAATGGAAATGTCTCCCATCTCAACTTTTTCAAAGGCTCACCTGGAGGAGTCAATTCAAACTCAGCAGCTCATAATTCCGCTACACCACACCCTGCCACCTCTGTGTGAAAGGACAGATAAATTTGATGGAGGGCTGTATCATTCCTCCTTGTGTGTTTCATATCGGTAACATTTCTTCTGTTAATGGGAACAGTTTCCATGAACAAATGACTAGATCATTTGGATAGTTTTTCGAAAACACTGTGTTAGCAAATTAAAATAACGATAATTTGGAGTTAAAGAACGTGGACAAATAACCAGGATGTTTCCTTGTCAGCAAATTAAAATAATGGTACTTTGGAGTTAGAAAAAGAACATAGACAAATAATCAGGATGTTTCCTTGTGACTGCAACACAATGTGGAAGGGTGTCCCCCAAAAAAGTGCAGTTGTTGCTACAGGACCTGCTTGTTCTTCCTTGTGTGTGTTGTCCTATTCTTCATTTGCCCTCTAGCAATTACTTTAAGTGTGACCTTGAACAAATTACTTAGCGTTCCTGTACCTCATTTTTTCTCACCATAAGAGATACTTTTACCTAATCTCTTAGTTGTGAAAGTAGTTAATATGTAACTTAGAACAATGTATGCCCAAAAGTAAATAATAAATATGGCCAATTATAGTTACCTTTTCCCACCTATATCCCAAAGCCGGAAGATGAAACATTAAACAATTTAGTTTTTTTTTAAAAGTTGTTTTTAAAAGTACATATATCATCCTATATGCTTGATCTGTGCTGGGTGCACTCTAGAGCAGAATGTAAGTGCTTTTGAATTCTAGGAAGATATTGCATTAGGCTTGGCATTGTGACTATTCATAGATGATGAGCAAATGCTTTTAAGGATAGAACAAATCAAGTTTACACATCAAGATGAGCATTAGGTACTGTTACAGACTATTTTGGATGCTTTAAATGAGTCTTGTTCTTTCTGGAATAGTGGAAATAGGTTCCACTTAAAGGTACTGGAATACACAGGTTCACCTCTCCCAGTTCTTTTCAGATTGCATGCTCTTTGTATTTCAGCTTGGTTCCACCAGGCCTTCGAACTGGTTCTGCCTGGTTCAGTCAAGGCCAGTGAAGCAAAACTCAAATGGACTCGAATTTTTAAAATGTGAGTGAAGCAGAACAGGAAAAATTACAAGTTGAAGCTCTGCGAGAAACTTAATCTCCCTCTTAGAAAACAAGGGCAGTGTATGTGTTGCATAGCAACCAAATCTCGAGAGCATAGCTGAAAACAGCAGTGCCATGCCCAAAGATGGTGGCCCACCACGTGTCACTCCCCACAGTCCCGGCAATTATATGGGCTCCTGAAAGGGTTCACTACACCTCTTCAGAGTCTCCCATTCCAGGGCTTTAATCTGTAATTTCTCCTGTTCCACTTATCATTCCACTTCACTCGAATTTTAAAAATTCTGTTCCAATTTTGCTTCATCAGCCATGACTGAACCGGTCTGAAGCCCTGGATTCCACTGGCTAAGCTGTTCATTGATTTCCTAACTGCATGGATTGTGTCCAGCCACCCATGGGCAAAGGACAGATTGTTCCATTCTGTTTAGTTGTCCCTTAGTTTTACAAGTTGAAATGTTAGACTAGGTTAGAGAATTTCTTTATCCTACCACTTTGTGCAGTTAGAATATTGCATCACTCATAATTATGCCAAAAGTACCATGGATTTACCCATATTTTGTTTTGTTTTAGGCTAAGATCTTTACAAACTATACAGGTGAGAAAAGTCTGACTCAGCCTCCTCTCCACAAATATGCTTTAATTTTAATTTACTGGGGAGTTAGCTGTCCTTTTCCTGGTTTTCCTTAAAAACAAAACAAAAAAACTACCCAGAATGATGAATTATAAGAGAGAAACTTGGAGTTGCAGCTTTCTCTCATAGGAATGCCTCCATTCTCAGACTAAGATAGTCAACTAGAACAAAAAAAAAAGGAAAAGTGTGGAGATTCCTGTAAATTGGTTCAAAGATGTGAGGGAGGCAAAGATATAAGCCTGGTGGCGCTGGGAAAGAATCAGCGATGCTCATTTCCCTTTTTAAACTTTGTTATATGCAAAGACAACATGAAAAATACAGAAACTAAACAATAAGACCTTGTCTTCTGGGAGGAAATAGAAAACCTGTTGTCACCGAGTAGATTCCAACTTAGCAACCCTATGGGGCAGAGTAGAACTGCCCCATAGGGTTTCCAGGGAGCAGCTGGTGGATTCGAACTGCCGACCTTTTGGTTAGCAGCTGAGCTCTTAACCACTGCACCACCAGGGCTCCAGAGGAAATACACAGAGCTGGTTATTGAGTGGCTACTATTCAATAATGTGGCGTCTGTTTATCACAAGAGCCTGTAGGGTAGGTGGAGGTACCCCCATTTTATAAATCAGCTCACAAACTTAGATTGTGACTTGCTTGAGGTCACCCAGCTAGTGTGGCAGAGCCTGACTTTGAATCCAGATCTGCTCTTTCCATTACTATGCAAGATGCCCTCTTTATATTTTTGATGGGAGAGAGCACAGATGGGAAGATTTTGGTACCAACAAAGCAATATAGGCAACGGAGGGGATGCATATGCTGAGGGGGAAGGAACTCCAGCTGCTGCAACTCCTTTGTGTTATTCCTCTCCTGGTTCTCATCCTATTCTGATCCTCTGAGGCGCTTTACCTCTACATTTCTCAAGTGTGGGAAATGCTAGTAATTCTACTTGGGTGTACAATAAGCATTTCAAACAACTTATCCAAAACTGAACTAATCTTACCCACTTTGAGCCCCCCAAACGCTCAGTAATCACAACTCCAACCTTTCAGTTGTTCAGCTAAAAACTGTGGAGTCATCATTGCTTCTTTATTCATAACATATCCAGTCTACCGACAAGGTTGAGAATCCAAACATTTCTCACCAGCCACACTGCCATACCACACTAGTCCAAACCATCACGATCCCTCCAAATTTCCTACAATGCTCACTCCCCCATCCCACCTCTCTGCCTCAGCAGCGACCATTCATCCCCTGCTCACTCCTGTCCCTGAAACACACCAATGTGCTCCTACCTCAGGGCCTTTGCACCTTCAGCTCCCTTTACCCAGGTATTAGCATGGTTAGTTTCCTCCCTCATTCTGATCAAAGCTCAACCGTCTTCTCAGTGATACTTCCTCTGACCATTTTAAATTGCAACCTTTTCCCCTTCTATACTTAATTTTTCTCTATAGCACCATCATCATTTGATACATTATATGTTTTTCTTGATTATGTTTCCCTAGTAGAAGGAAAAGGAGTGCCGGTGGTGCAATGGTTAAGCACAGTGGCGTCACTAGGGGAGTGTGGGGGGTGTGGACCACACAGGGTGACAATGTCAGAGGGGGTGAGACCAAAATGTCTACAAAAATATCCTTGTAGTTATAACAACAAAAACATTTTTTGTAAGCCCAGCTTACATATATCAATATGCCTACAAGGCTAACACTCTATGCTAATTTACTTTTTGAACTTTCTAATGCACTCCTGTCAGAGTTGTCATTATTACTCAATTACAATGATGCTTCAAATCACATGGTTTTATCTACACGAGCTATAAGCACACAATGTTGTTTTCGCTGCAGCTTCTGTTTTTATAGTGGCTAATTTTGTCAAATTTTCTGGTGTTTTAGCTATAATATTGTGGTAATTAGTATTTGTGAACCTATGTCAATAACTTTTTTGAGAATGAAGTAAAGGACAAGAAGGAGTCATATATGGGAATTATGATTTATGAGTAACATTCTTACAAAAAACATTACTAAGGATTCTCTATGGTCTGGTAGAGAGGCGGTCCATGGGGGGGGGGTGACATCACGAGTTACTGCACTGGGTGACACCAACACAAGGACTGCCATTGGTTAAGCACTTAAGCACTCTGCTGCTAACCAAAAATTTGGTTCACAAGGTCCAGAGCAGGGGAATGTTGACATATCGTGGGGTTAACAACCAATGTCACAAAACAATATGTGTACTGTTTAATGAGAAACTAATTTGCTCTGTAAACCTTCATCTAAAGTACAATACAGAAAAAAGGTACATAGGTGGGTAGGTAGGTAGGTAGATAGGTGAATGGATGGGTAATAGATAGATATAGGTAGACAGACAGACAGACAGATACAGTCAAATCTCCCCTCCCCTCATAACCATGTACTCAGTCTTGTATTAGTTAGCTGGCTCACAATTCAGAGGCTGGAAAGTCTTTCCTTGGCATTCCTTGCCACCACTCAATCCCTGTCTGCCCAGTCATTTCCCTAAGAGCTGCCATCCCCCCTTCTGTTGTCTGCATGAAGACCTAAATGGCTCGTGCCTAAATCACACTGAGCCAGTGTCAGTGGGGTGTAAACACCAGGACTCACACCACTGAGCCAGTGTCACAGGAGTGTAGTCACCACGACACACCATCACTAAGCCAGTGTCACTGGGGTATGAAAACCAGGGCTCACCATCACTGAGCAAGGGGTGGTATCTCACTGAGGTGTAGATACCAGGGTGCACCATCACTGAGCCAGTGTCACTGGGTGTAAACACCTGGGCTCACCATCACTAAGCCAGTATCACCGGGATATAAAAAGAAATTTCTTTTGTTAGAAATGGCCCTCCGTCTCTCTCTCTCTCTCTCCCATGTTACCCATTCATATTCAGCCAAAGTCTGCTCCAGACACTCCTGGAGTCCAACCTTCTTGATCTCACCTCGGGTGGTGAAGAGGGAGAAAAACATCACAAAGGATGGTACTGGACACCCCACCTCACATGCTTCCAGCTCACCTTTTCCACCACCTTCCACAACCACCTTTGACCAGCGCAACTTTGCAGACTCATCTCACATGCACCATCTCAAAAGCACTTGCTTTTGACCCTGCTCTTCCCTGAGGCTCACTGTGGGAGCCCAGATTGTCTGTCGGCCCATCCGTCCATCCATCCATCCATCCTTCCAACCATCCATCTATCTATCAAGCATGTACAGTCAGGAAGGGCAAGTGCATAGGAGTTGGCATCTCCAAGGACACTCCTTGACCACTGGGAAAAAGAGAGAGAGTGGATAACTGCCCCCCTCTTCTACCCTTTGGGCAGACAATTCAAGATACACTCCACATGGATACTCTCCATGGCTTCTCACAATGTCCCAGGGGGACTGGACCCCAACCGGCCACAGCAATGACCACCTGGAGCAGCCACTATTGTCTTCTCTCTCTGTTCCTGACTCTCCTTCCCCAGCTCTGCACTCCTGTTCCCTGGGATCATGTCCCCAAGAAAACTACCTGCATGCAAGTCCTTGTCTCAGGCTCTAATTGGGAAACCCAGACTAAGACAGATGGATAGGGCAGGAGGTTAGATACAGACACATGAGCACTCAAAAAATCCAGGACCTCATGCCCTGAATGTCTCCAACGATAGAGTTCAGGATATGGTCGTTGGGTATGAGTTTGGATTTAATCTGCATCAGTCTAAATGTCATGCAATAGTTTACTAACAAGCAGCTCCAACAAGCCTAAAACTACAAAAAATATAAAGGACCATTAGCTTAGGAAAAAAACTCACCCAGCGGCTCTGTGGAATAAAAACCTGGCAGTCTGTTCCCATAAAGATCACAGCCTAGGAAACCCTATGGAGCAGCTCTACTCTTGTTTCATGGGGTCTCCATGAGCAGAAAATCGACTGGAAGCCACCTAACAACAACAGTATGAGGAAAATTCCATGAAGGCAAGGATTTTTGTCAGCTTTCCATTGCAATTTCCTCAGTCCCTAAAACCGTTATCAGACTCAAAATAGGTGTTCAATAAATATTTGTTGAAGGAACAGCAGGAGGATCCAAATGCTCCATTAAGTTCCTGTGTGCTACGTTACCACAGTCATCATCAAACTAACAGGGCGCCAAATAGAGCAGCCCCTGTATACTGTCGCACAGCAACTGCTGATTAGCTGCTGCTGCCGCTGTGGTCAGCGTCCTTCATCCCACCAACCGTTTAGAAACAATAAAAATTAAGTTTCCCAGAGCCTCCTGATAAGCCGGCCTACGACTTTCCAAGAGCAAATGGCGGCCACTAGGGTAACTGCTAACCGCCTCTGCCCAACTTTACAGCCTGTTTGCGAGTCAACTGCCCAAGAGCGCCTCGCTCAGGCACCCACCTCTCGCCGCCGTAACAGTTCTGCGTCGCCACAGCTCGCGGCGGAAGGACTTCTGTAGTGACCATAGACCGGATGGGGCGGGACTTCCGGGCAGAGCGGCGGCCCGGCCGGCTGGGTGAGTCCGGAGTTGAAAGCGGTTTACTTTGTGCTGTGGCGGGGACTTGTCGCCCGGGGAGCGCGGGGACGAGGAGGGGCCTGCGCGACCGAAGGCGGAGGGCTGAATTGCCCGGGCTTTTGAGGGAGTAGGGGGCAAAGGAGTGTGTCGAGAGGGAGGCAGAGGACAGCTTCCGTCTGGGGAGCTGCAGGGAAGCCTCTGGGGCTCCAGTCTGGAACAATGGCTCTCCCTAAGGCAAATTTTGGGAAGTGTAGTCTTGGGTTCCCGTTTGTGCTCTGTCTTCAGCCATGTGGCCTCGAGGCTTGAGTTTCACATCTGAAAAACAGAGACAAATCACCCTGTCTCACAGAGCTTGGCAGGATAAGGTGTGAGGAAGAGCTCCATAAACTGCAATGTTTGGTGCATTCTTCGGTCTTCCTTATTCATTGTCCACCTTTCACATGCATAGGAGGCGATTGAAAATAGTGTAGCTCGGGTCAGGCGCACCTTAGTCCTCAAAGTGATAGATTTGCTTTTTAACGCTTGCAAGAATTCTTTTGCAGCAGATTTGCCCAATGCAATATGTCATTTGATTTCTTGACGTCTGATTCCATGGGCATTGATTGTGAATTCAAGTAAAATGAAATCCTTGACAACTTCAGCCATTTCAGGAGGTAGCATATGATCAAGAACCGATGGTATTAAAGGAAGAATTCCAAGCTGCATTGAAGGCACTGGCGAAAAACAAGGCTTCAGGAATTGACAGAATACTAATTGAGATGTTTCAACAAATGGATGCAATGCTGGAAGCGCTCGCTCATCTATGCCAAGAAATTTGGAAGACAGCTATGTGCCAACTGATTGGAAGAGACCATATCTGTGCCCATTCCAAAGAAAGATGATCCAACAGAATTCGGAAATTATTGCACAATATCATTAATATCACATGCGAGGAAAATTTTGCTGAAGATCATTTCAAAAGTAGTTGCAGCTGTACATCAACAGGGAACTGCCAGAAATTCAGGCTGGATTCAGAAGAGGATGTGGAACAAGGGATATCATTGCTAATGTCAAATGGGTCTTGGCTGAAAGCAGAGAATACCAGGAAGATGTTTCCCTGTGTTCCATTGACCATGCAAAGGCATTCGACTATGTGGATCATAACAAATTATAGATAACATGGTGAAGAATGGGAAATCCGGAACAGTTAATTGTGCTCATGCAGAACCTGTACATAGACTAAGAGGCGGTTGTTTGAACAGAACAAGGGGATACTGCATGGTTTAAAATCAGGAAGGGTGTGCATCGGGGTTGTGTCCTTTCACTAATTCAGTTTGTATGCTGAGCAAGTAATCTGAGAAGCTGGACTACATGAAGAAGAACGTGGCATCAGGATTGGAGGAAGACTAACAACCTGCAATATGCAGATGATACAACTTTGCTTGCTGAAAGTGAAGAGGACTTGAAGCACTTACTGATGATCAAAGACTGCAGCCTTCAGAATGGATTATACCTTAACATAAAGAAAGCAAAAATTTCTCACAATTGGACTGATAAGCAACATCATGATAAACGGAGAAAATATTGAAGTTGTCAAGGCAATCATAGTGTATGCTAATTCTCAGTTAAAATATCTGAATTTCCCCTCATTTGTAGTTAAATACCTAAGTTCTTTTCTCCATTCATGTTAAGCCATATTTCTACTCTATTTCTGTTAGTACCATAGAATTTCACTAGTTTATTATACATTTTTTGGCAATTGCATACTCTACCAATTCTCAACTAAAATATCTAACTTTGCTCTTATTCATGTTGTTAACTAAAATACCTAAGTTCTTTACCCTATTCATGTTAACTACATTTCTTTGTCTGTGCAGTTAAATTTTTGCACTCAAGTGTAGGACTTTTATTCCTGTCGAAGTTCAAGGTTATAGCCTGTGAAGATCTTTTTGAATCCTATTTCAACATCTTATTGTGCCATTTGGATACTTCCCTTGCTTGAGATAACTATGTAATGGGTGTGCCTAAGCTAGGCATTCTAGGACTCTCCACTGGAATATATCAGGCATTATTCTAAGTACTTTACATATATTAACTCATTTCTCTTCATATTCTATGAGGTTGTTACTATTTACATAAATTTCTTCTAATACTCGAGATCATATATGTTTAATTTTGTGTCCTCTTTTTGTGAATTATGAGTCATAAACATTTACCCATTTATAAATAATAAGTTTAAAAAACTTGATTATGGGAAAATTCAGACACACAAAATTAGAGAATGAATCATCACGTATCCATCACTGAGCTACAGTAATCATCAATTGTGACTGATCTTGTTTCACCCATACCTCTACCCACTTCCCATGGTTTCCTGGACCTGACCTTGGACACATTTATAGTGCATTTTTGTCTTCTAAAAATAGTAAAAAGGTGTTTATTTCTGTTGGCTCCAAATTTGTGCATAAATAGTCATATTATTTTGTGAGGATAGGAAAAAGAGAGTTCCTTGAGAATGTTGTAAAGAAGTGTTTTAACCCAAGAATGGTTACTGAGTAGTCTACAGAGAATAAGATGCCCTTGCATTCTAATTATTTTAAACTTTTATGTTTACTTCCCTCTCTTTAATTTTCAAATTTAATTGGATGCATCTGGTGAAAAACATCTTTAGAATATTCACAATCTAATTATTTTTACAGGCTATTGAATTATATAATACATTTAAAAACAAAATGGATGAAGAACCGGAAAGAACTAAGCGATGGGAAGGAGGCTATGAAAGAACATGGTAAGTTTATCATATTATTTCTCTCTCTTCTTTTTTAGATTTTTTTTTAAAACTTTATTGAGGTATATTTTACATATCTTATAATTCACCCTTTTCCAGTGGACATTTCAGTGATTTTTAGAAAATTTGCTGAGTGTGCAACCATTACCATAAACCAGTTTTAGAACATTTTTCACCACCCTAATATGACCCCTCATACCTACTTACAATTATAGGTAGTCCCCAACTTACCACAGGGTTCCATTCTGACTACTCTGTTGTAATCTAGTTCTGATAGAAGTCGAATACCTTTTTTTTTTTTTTTTAAGTTTTCATTATTATTGCCTTTTGTTATTAGTATCTTTATTAATCCGTTCTTTGAACATCTGCGAGTGAACATCTGAGAATTATAACATCAGCAGAGTACTCGCTGCAACATTGTATGTAGTACATACTAGTAATGATAAGATGTACAAAAAAACACGTGATCATAAGTGCGGTTTGTCATAACTCAAATGCGTCATAAGTCAGGGACTCCCTGTAATGTCATTGTCACCTCCAGCCACAGGCAACCACTAATCTCCTTTCTGTCTCTATAGATTTACCTATTCTGGACATTTCATATAATCACACAATACGTGGTCTTTTGTGTCTGGCTTTCTTCACTTAACATACTGTTTTCAAGGTTTGTCCGTGTTGTAGTTCGTGTTAATATACTGTTTTCAAGATCATGTGTCAGTAGTTCGTTTTTATTGCTGCATAGTATTCGATTATGTGGATCCATGGCGTTTTATTTATCCACTCACCAGTTGATGGACATTTAGATTGTTTCAATTTTGGGCTGTTAGGAGTAATGCTGCTATAAATATTTGCGTGTAAATCTTTGTGTGGACATTTGTGTTCATTTCTCTTGGGCTTATCTTTTCAAACAAGTAATTATTGCTTATAGAGAGTTTTTTTTATATATACATATATAATTTATTTTATTTTTGTTGTTGTTGAGAATATACACAGCAGAACATACACCAGTTCAACAATTTGTACATGTACAGTTCAGTGACATTGATTACATTCTTTGAATTTGGCAACCATTCTCACCCTCCTTTTCTGGTAACATAACATTAACATAAACTTACTGCCCCCGGAGGTTCCTGTCTAATTCTAATCTTTCTAGTTGCTGTTGTCAGTTTGATCCCATATAGATAGATCTTGAAAAAGCACAATGCTCAAGGTGGACATTCTTTACTAGTTAAGATAAGCTATTGTTTAGTTTTAAGAAGATTTCAGAGGATATTTTTGGTTTAAGGTTTAAAGATTATCTCAGGGCAGTAGTTTCAGGGGTCCAGCCAGCCTCCATTGTTCCAGAAAATCTGGATTCCATAAGAATTTGAAATTCTTGTCTGCATTTTCTCCCTTTTGATCAGGATTCTTTTATAGAACCTTTGATCAGAGTGTTCAGTAGTGGTAGCTTGGCACTATCCAGTTCTGGTCTCATGGCAAAGGGGGGCAGTTGTTCATGGAGGCAATTATCCACACATTTCATTTCCTCCTTAGGGAGATTCTTAAAGAAGATGAATCTGGATCACTTAAAGCTACAATAGAAGACATTCTCTTTAAGGCAAAGAGAAAGAGGTATGTACATTTTCATAAGTGTATTACCAAAGGTAAAATACATTCCTTTAAGCCATTCTGTCCACCTATACCCACTCTGCAGTACTTCATTTCCACTGTGTTTCAGGGAGACTGGCTTGTTGCCTTCTGAATGGGGGAAAGAGCCAGGGACTACCCTGGCCTCAGCAGGGAAATAAGTCTTCATGAAACCATCCAAAATGTCTATAATTATGTGGAGTTCATAGTTTAGTAATTATAAATACTTACTGTTTCATTAGGTTAGTTGGAAAGTTGTATTGATTCTTAGGGTAGTATATGGTATTCCATTAAAATTTTTTGAATAATTTTAACAGAGTATTTGAGCACCATGGACAAGTTCGACTTGGAATGGTATGTTATTATTTTTTTCCTTTATTGGTACAGAACTGGTTTGAGTAGAACAACATTCTGGCTTACTAGAACAAAGAACAGTAAAATAGCAAACCTTTTAAAAGACTGTTTTTAAAATATATCTGTAGATTGAAGAGGATATTAAAATGCTATTTTAATTTTTGGTCAAAAATGTATTTGAAAATTATCGTTATTTATTTTTTTTGGTAGATGCGCCACCTTTATGTGGTAATAGATGGATCAAGAACAATGGAAGACCAAGATTTAAAGCCCAATAGACTGACATGTACTTTAAAGGTATAGTAAAATCATTTCAATTTGTATTAAATATGGGGAAGGACACTGAATTCTTAAAAAAATTTTTTTAAAGAATGCTATTTTATTTTTCTACAGAGTTAATACAAACTATTACCGGTTACCAGTTGCCATCAAGTCATTTTTGACTCAGGGCAACCTTATGTGTTGCAGAGTAGAATTGTGCTCCATAGGGTTTTCAGTGGCTGATTTTTCTGAAATAGATCGCCAGGCCTTTCTTCCAAGGCGCCTCTGGGTGGACTCAAACTTCCAACCTTTTGGTTAGCAGCTGAGTGCATTAACCATTTGTACCTCTCAGGGATTTCCATTCAAACTATGTTGTTGTCGTCGTTGTGTGCAGTCGAGTTGATTCCGACTCATAGTGACTCTATATGACAGAGTAGACCTACCCATAGAGTGTCCTATGCTGCAAATCTTTATAGGAGCAGATTGCCAGGTCTTTTCTCCCACGAAGCAGCTGGTTGGTTCAAACCAGCCTTTAGTTAGCAGCCGAGTGCTTAACCATTGTACCACCAGAGCTCCCTGTACAACCTACAGTCAAGTAGAAGTCCTGCTGGATCATTTAAGGAAATGATAAATCAAAATAGCTAATTATTTGTGCCCTTGATTTCCACCCTCCCATCCAAATCAGAGTCTTGCTTTGTCAGCTACCTTTTTTCTTTATTGAATCTTCATTCTCATTTGACTGACTTGAATCTTTCTCCTCAGTTTACAGGTACATTCACATTATTGCTAATTTAACAAAACTCAATTCTGCTTATTTTCCTGTCTCTGTCTTCATTGGATCTGTTCCTTTGTTTAAACTGTTTCTCTCTGACATGTCCAAATAAGTCTGTCTTTTAAGGACTAACTCAGAACTATCTGATCACTTACCATTTAAAATTAAAGTTTTTTTACTAGCTAATTAGTTTCAATTTTATATTTTTACTAGTGAAATTTTTAAAAATCTATAAGCTTAAAAATCATGGGAAGAGTCATTTGATAAATCAGACACTTTCTCTATGGTTGCTATTTTGCTCTTAATCTAGTTTTTTTTTTTCTTTTGACAGTTGTTGGAATACTTCGTAGAGGAATATTTTGATCAAAATCCTATTAGTCAAGTATGTACATAGTGATAGAATTCAGAATTAGAGTCCTGATATTTCTGCCAAATGTAATTTATAAAAAAAATAGTGCATATATTCTGTAAATCATTAAATTATTCAAATTGAGAATCAGTGAAAGGCAAAAAATAGCAAAAATTAATAGAAAAAGCAAAATATCTCTAAAACTTAAGCAATTACAGTGAACTCATAGCTAAATTTATTTGTCAAAAGCACCATGAGGAAAAGTTTCTTACATGTTGCTTATTCCTTTGTAATAATTTTAATTATGTTGATTCTTATTAAAAGGCAATAATTTGCTTTGTTAAATTAAAATAGGTCATTTTTGTTTTTGTTTTGAGATTGGAATAATTGTAACTAAGAGTAAGAGAGCTGAAAAACTGACTGAACTCTCAGGTATGTTTTGTTTATACATAGATGTGCATAATATTACCTTTGTTAGATAGTAGACGTAAGGACACAAGAACTTTGCTTTATTTATCCAGCCTTGTACCTTCCTCTTAGCTCTGTATGTGAAACAACTTAATAAGAAATCCTCCACTGTTTTAAATTGAGTTCTGCATAGTGGTAGATAGCATTACAATGAATATAAGTGTGTTTCTTTAAGAACTATACATTCTTATTCCTGTAGTATTAAGATGAAATTATTGTAACCATTCATAAAACTCAGTCTTAAAATTAATTTTTTTAAAAAATTAAACCTCTAATTTAAAGAGCAAAGGGTATAAAATTTGAATTGTGGCTGCTATTAATGATTCTGCTTGCATTACATGCTTATCTGAATTTTAGTCTTTTAAGAGATAGTAGTGGTGGGTTTTATTTGCCTCGTGTATTTGGTGTTATAAATTTATATCACTAATTCCATTTTATTTTCTGTGGAATACACTATCCTTTAAATCTTAACTTTCATCCTCACCATGACACGTAAGTAGTAAAATGTACGCTAACTCAGAGTGATGCAAGAAACTCACTTGTGATAACTTGCCCCCCCCCTGCAAAAAAAATCTCAAAGTAGCTTAGGTTCAAAAACGAAATTATTGGCTCATGTTCAAAAGTAGAGTTGATTTCATGTACAGTTATTTCCAGGGATCCTGGTTCTGTCTGACCTCATTCTCTGATATGTTTTCTGTTAGCAAAACGATTTTCATTAATAGCCCCAAATCTATATCACTCTTGTAGTCTGTAGCTTCATCACAAGTGCCAGGGAGGACTCTTAATTGGCCCTGCTTATGACATGCCCCTCATGGGCAGTCAGAGTGGGCAGGGGAATGAAGTATTTTATTGGTAGTCCTGGATTATGCTTATCTCTGGGACAGGATGGAAGCAGGGTCTGCTCCACCTGAACCACAGGAACTAAACAGGATTATTGTATAGTCAGGTAAGGATGGTTTCCTCAAGGAAGGGGTATAGGGCTGACTCCCTCCTCCCTCTTCCCCAGACTGATAGTAGATTTCCATGGGTGCCGGAGAAGTGATATGTATATAGTTGAAGAAGCCTCTGGAGATTGACAGGCTTGTCGAAGGCACTGTCTCTCCTTCCAGTGAGAATCACTGCTGTAAACTGCACTGACACTGATGTAGCATGCTTCTTTCCTATACCTATAACACAACTGGAGATAAAAAGACATTTTGTATGGTATGGTAGAAAGAGAAGTAGACGGAGAGCAGGAGATCTGAGTTTGATGCTAGTTCTGCCATTAGATAGGCAAATGTCATTTAACTTCTTTGGATTTGTTTTCTCACTTATGAAATGAAGGAGTTGGACTTAGGGAAGTACTTTTTGTATCTAAAATTTTGTGATTCCAAGAAATCACAAAAGTATTTATAATAAATATGGCAAATGGTTAATATTTTAAAGCTTATTCAGGTAAACAGCACCAGGAAGCTCTAAGTAGATGAATGGGTAAAGAAGGCAGATAATTGACACCAGAATAAAGATAGAAAGTAAATAAATATTGGGGGGAAAAAAAAGTTTAGCCAACCAAGTGGTCAAAGAAATACAGACTAACTTAATACACTTTTACTATTTTAAATTGGCAAAATTAAGTTTCAAAAGCAATGTGTTGCTTAATGAACCATGAGAAACTAGTACTTAACAAAACCAGCCTTATAAGTGAGTTTAAAGTTTTTTTGAAAAAGAACGATAAAAATGGTCGTTCATTGGGATTATACTTAGGAAATGTTATAAAAGAAGAAAAAGGCTTACTATACAAGGATAGTGTTTGCAGCACTCTATGTAGTAGTGACAAATTGGAAATAAATATTCAACAGTATGGAAGTAATTTGATGAACTACACTAAATGATAAGACAAGTATAATGAAAATTTCAACTGTCATTAATTAATATGGAGACAGTGTTGAAATAGGAGAAAATGTTTACAGAATACCATATTTCTTTGGCTATAAATAAGAGAAATCTTTGTTTTATGAGCCATTAAGAAGGAAAAACCTTGGCAGTTAAACTTTGACACAATGTTAAATGATATGTGAATTGGTCACACCAGCTTGGCGGTGCTTTGACAATTCTGTCAAATTTTAGGGATTTGACGGTTTTTCCTGCCTTCATTTGTATTGTCTGGCATGAAGTAGACAGTGTTTTAGCTGCTATGTCAGTAACAGGAAGTAACACAGTTTTGCCTACTTGTGGGAATCCTCCCTTCCTACATCCTATGAAGGTCTTGTTTTTTATTTTTCCCCACAAGAAAATGTGAAATTGCAGACGTTCTTCCATCAGTGAATATTTGCTTTGCTAATAATGTACTTATATCTCATTGCTCTGTTCTAAGCCTTTCTACATGCAAACATAACCTTTTGTATTAATAACTTATCTAAAAACATTTTAAATGGCAGTTAAATAACATGAATAGTGCCAGCAATGTACATGATACGATCGAAGCAACAACACTTTTAATAACTAATGAATAGTAGGTTTGCACGTGAGCAGGCAGTGACGACTTTGTCACTAATGTTGTCTGACTGCCAGTGATTGATTGTAAGATGCATCTTGATTTCAGAAATGTTAAAATGTGAAAATACATTAGTCTTACAAATAATGAAATATGGAAATATTAAAAGTAAAAAGTTATACATGCTAGGATTAATGTTTAAAATATATGTGCTAATAGATACAAAGAAACAGATTATTTTTATTTTTTCAGTAGGAAATGAGGTTAACAAACATTTTTGAGAAAAGCACAACTTGCTAGAAGTATAAATTGAAGAGATTCTGTGCTTTAACATCATAGATCTTTACATTTGGGAAGAAAAATAAATTTCCATAAAGTATATGTTAGATTTTGTTAAAAGTAAGTATTCCATTTCTGTTCTAGGAAACCCAAGGAAACACATAACATCTTTAAAGAAAGCTGTAGATATGACCTGCCATGGAGAACCATCTCTTTATAATTCCTTAAACATGGCTATGCAGACTCTGAAGTTAGTATTTTATGTTTATTATTTACAATTAATTTCTAAGTGTTTTGAATGAATTGAGTTGAAATGACAGTATGTTAGTATGAGTCTCCATAGACCCAGCTATAGTGGTGTAATTATTTAGAAGGAAAAGTACAGAATGACATTTATGATTTTTAGTATGATGTTGGTTGGTTATTCCATTTTATTTTTGTATTTTAGTAGGTGAGGCATATGCTTAAAGTTTTAGAAAAATATAATCAAAACTGTAAGTGTTTAGAAAAGATAATCAAAATTAGCACAAAAGAATACATTGATGAAAAATATTTTATTTAAAATGGATTATTTATAGAATTTAATGTGCTATAATAATTTGAATTGGTTGTATATTTATTAACTTTTATTAACTTGTTTTGTAATACCTGTATACATTGATAGCAAGTTCAGCTATGTGGAATATAGCTAAGAAACCCAAAGGAAGTATTCAGCATAGCTAAAGCACACGTGGGGTTGCCATGAGTCAGAATCAACTCAGTGGCAACTAACAACAACAACAAAGCTCATATATTTTACCCCTTGATAGGCTGCCCTGACACACCCTTTATACCTTAATATAACAAATATTTTTATAGTTTTGAAGTACATGAGAAGGAAGTACTGCATATAAAAGACATAGGCACAATGGCAGCATCCATAAGTGGTAGCTGAGAGCCTGACAGTGAAGATCTTAAGAGGAAACCTATAAAGCTGATAAAATTGCTCCAAAAAGCATAGAAATCCCTATTTGGTATAGGGGCAAACAACTCACCACATCTTAAATCCCCACCCATTAAGCTATTATTTAATTAAAATGGTATACAAAGATTATGATCATAATGACTCTGAATCATCAAGAGATTAAGTTGTAGTCTTTAAGAAAGAAGTGTATTACTATTGTTAAGCCACACATATACACCTGAAAGTTGATCCATATGGTATTGTCATACTTCCCAATGTATACTTTACATTTTGTATGAAGCACACCTACTAGAATGTAAACTCCATGATGTCAGGAACCTTGTCAGTCATGGTTGTTATTTATCCGCAGATCTTAAAAGAGTACCCAATAAATGAATAAATGAATCAATAAAAAAGAAAAGATGTGTGTAGTTCATTTTAGAAAATTTATATTAAAGTGTTTAAAATATATTCACAATTCATTCCCTTGCAGTGTTGAAACAACTAAGGTGTTCTGTAGTCTAAATGTGTAAACCATGTGTACTATTCTTTCTGGGTAAAGTTTACATTAATGTAATTTGTTATACCTAATTGGAGTGTGTTTTATCTTTCTTTAGACACATGCCAGGACATACAAGTAGAGAAGTCTTAATCATCTTTAGCAGTCTTACAACTTGTGATCCATCTAATATCTATGATTTAGTCAAGGTAGAACCATACATTCTTTATAATCAAAACCAAAGTTACAACTCTAAAGAGAATTCTGTAGTGAATTTATCACTAGTTTTCAGAGCATTCTTTCTGTTTTTCAAACACATTAATTCTTAAATGTTTTTCTTCTACCCCTTGCTGGCCCCGACCTTCTGTCTACTTGAATTTTACGAAGACTGTAAAGGCAGCTAAAATTAGAGTGTCTGTTATTGGATTGTCTGCAGAGGTTCGGGTTTGCACTATACTTGCTCGTGAGACTGGTGGTATGTATCTAGAATCTTCAATATTTATTCATCATTACTATGTATGAAATAACACTGTTAATTAAACTAGTTAGAATGTTTTAATGTGCTTGTAAGCTACTAAATTTATACCAGTTCATATCCTGTAGTCCAAAATATAGGTGTCACCTTAAGTATACCATTGATTCTGTAAGATACCATCCTCAAATGCAAGAAAATTTTCAGTAGTTATGTATTTAGAGGAAATACTGTATAATTCCTGGAAAATTAGGAATTTCACTATGTATAGTACTTCATACAGATCTCATAATTTGGCTATGATAAAATTGTAATTATAGTTATATCCAGAGAAGTCAATATAGAGATATTGCTTAAATAAAGTTTTTAAACTGACAGTTTAGCTTAAGTCTTTATTTTGAAAATGTACATTTTTCAGATGATGTATCTTTTACAGAATTACATAGAAATTATAATTTGTTCTTATATCTGGAAAGCTGATTTTTTTTCCTTTTACTCTTTGTCTTATTAGGCATGTACCATGTTATTTTAGATGAGAGCCATTACAAAGAATTGCTAACACATCACGTTAGTCCTCCTCCTGCCAGCTCCAATTCTGAATGCTCACTTATTCGTATGGGTAAGTTTTCTGTGTTAGTTTGAAATAGACATTTTCTATATTTATTTTGGTCACATTAGGCTTTCTTTTTTCATTTGCACAAATTACCATTTTAACATCTAAGTATTTGTTTTTTCACTTAAATATTTTATTAGAAAACAAATTATGCTTATTGAGCAATTTTGGAAAATACAGAGAAGTAAAAAGAAAATAAAAACCACCTTTAATCCTGTCACCTAGAGAACACCACTGGCTTTCTTTTATTAAGGATAGAAAAGTATAAAGACATTTTGTTTTTTAAAAAAAATGCTTTGTTATATAAGCTACAAAATCCTCTGTATTGTATGATCAACGCTATGTAGTGTAAATTACGCAAAGGCAAAAAGTTACAGGGAAGTACACCAGATTGCTAAAAGTGATTTTTGTGAGTGTGGGGGTGGATAGAATGATGGGTTTTGGATCATCTAAAATTTTTTTTGTTTTATTTTCCAAAAATTTTATAGCCTTTTCTCAGTCACATAAAGCAAATATTTTTCTGGTTGGTCCTTACCTTATTTATTTGTTTTCATATGTAAGTAAATTTTTAATATTTATATAGTGAAATGTCTTTTCTTTTATTGTTTCTGCTTTTCCTAAACCTGTTTTCAGAATTAAAAAATATATACAAGGAACAAACTATTTGAAAGGTTTGCATATTCCAAAATTTTAATCATACAGTTATATTTTTATAGAAGGGGAAAGTGGAGTATGTATAGAAGCTCCGATTATGTCAGAAACTACTTAAAAATCAAAAACTGTTGTTCTTTTAAGAAGCAGTATGTGTTAATTGTTATCAAATTAGAAAATGTAGATACAAACTTTAGAATCAGAAGTCATATGTGCAGTCATATCTTTCCCCCACCTCCCCTACTTTTAGTTTTTCTTGTAGTTCGGATTTATGATCAGTTTCATCATAAGCATATCTAAGGGATAGGAAAGAGAACTTTTGTACAAGCTTTCTGGTAGGAACATTTTTAGATTCCTAGTCCTAGAATTCTGTTATTTGCTTGGTAAAGAAAGTAATACATTTTCTTCTGCGCAGGATTTCCTCAGCACACCATTGCTTCTCTGTCTGATCAAGATGCAAAACCTTCTTTTAGCATGGCGTAAGTAAAGACCTCAAAATTGTCAGTAATCATCTTTTACATTTTTAATTCCTTACTCTGTTATAAATTTTAAAAAATGGGCTTAAAATGTAATGACTGTTATAAAATATTATATTTTTTATGTAGCTGTAAAAAAGGAATGAAGACTCTATATACTTCTGTGGAATGATCTTCAGGACATATTACTAAAGTAAAAGAGCAAGGTAGAGACAAGTGTATAGTATCCTACCACTCATCTGAGAGTCAGGGTGGATGGCACCCTGGGCAGTGTGATAGATTTAGTAGACATTTATGTAGCTCTTACATATTTGTTTATATTAATAATAAAAACAACAGTAATGGAAGTATAAAGCAAAAATATGTTTTAAACGATTACCTGGGGGAGAGGGTGTGGGGAAAGGCAGAGGGATCAGGTATAGACCATTGACTTTTGTGAATATACCTTGTTTGGAACTTTATGTTTTACATAGTTGTAAAACAAAATTAAATTTAAGAATGAAAGTGTAACAGGGACAGAATTTGCCCTGTACCTTAAACAACCCCCCCCAAAAAAAAACACACAAAATATGTAAAACAACAGTTTTCAGACATTGGACAACAAGCAGTACAGGTAACGATCCCTCGAAGAAGAGAAATGAATGAGGTGAGCCTTGTAACTGTTCCAACTTAAACTCCGTGGAATGAATTTCCAGGCTGCTGCTCAGAAAGGGGAGCCCAAAGGTCTTGCTGAGTTGAAGACACAAAGTTCGGTGTTTAGGGAAGACTGAGATGTCTAGAATTTGCAGGGCAGAGTATTGGAGAGGAAAGAGTTGCACAGTTCTCTGGAGATTTACAGAAAGTTCCTGATGAATTCTCAGCTGAATACTGATCAGCACATGAATGTGAGGAAACTACCAGAGGCCAGGGAAAGAACCACAGAAAGGAGCAGGGAGAACGATCTCCAGAGTTTACACAGGCCGGGGAATGGTCCATGTTACCACAGCATGGAAAGACCTCTTAACATAAGAGACATTGAAAAGAGTCCACAATAATGGAACCAAATTAATCGCAGACTAATAGTTGTTCTAGACCAGCCTAACAAAGCTTGAAAGGAAGTTGTTGGTTTTTTTTTTTTTTTTTAATTGATGTAATTAAATGGAGTTTACATTTCAAGTTAGTCTCCCGTACAGAATTTTTTTTTTTTTTAACATACTTTGTTAGGAGACCGCAACTGCTCACCCCATTCTGCGACAGCACACTCCTCCCCTCCGCCCCTGATTCCCCATGAACATTCAACCAGCTCCTAACTCTCTCTGCCTTCCCCTCTAACCTCTGGACAGAAGCCACCCCTTTGGTCTCTTTTATCTACTTGTCTAAGAGGCACATTCTTCACGAGTATCACTTGATGTCCCACAGTCTAGTCCAATCCCTGTCTGAAGAGTTGGCCTCGGAAATTGTTAAAAGGAAGTTTTGAACAGATCAAACTATTTTCAAGTAACTTAACTATATTCCAGAATAAAGCCCAAAATACTTAATACAAAAAAATCCAGACTGCAAAACAAAATTTGCAATATCTGGCAGCCAGTCAAAAGTTACCAGGCATGCAAAGAGTTAGGAAAATATGACCCTAAGAAGGAAAAAAGGCATTAAATGAAAACGTACAGAAATAACACAGTTGGTAGAGTTAGTAGACAAAGACATTGAAACAGCTATTATAAAGATACTCCATGTTCAGGAGGGTAGAGGAGAACATGAGCATGGTAGGAAGAGCTATGGAAGATAGAAAAAAAGACCCACATCAGACTTTTCAAGATGAAGAATAAAATATTTAAGATGAAAAATACACTGGCTGGGAGTAACAGCATGTTAGACACTACAGAATAAAAGAATGAATAAAACAGCAATAGAAAACTATTCAAAATAAAGTCAGAGAGGAAAAATAAGACCAAAAAATATACAGAGAATCAGTGAGCTGTGGGACAACTTCAAGACTTTAAAATCAAGGTAGCATACTTTCTTTAGCTCTATTCGCATCTTTGTATATCTCTTTCTAAAAGTAATTTTTTTCCCCCACAGGCATTTGGATAGCAGTACTGAGCCAGGGCTTACATTAGGAGGCTATTTCTGCCCACAATGTCGGGCAAAGTACTGTGAGCTTCCTGTTGAATGTAAAATCTGTGGTAAGAAACCTACTATTAATCATTATCCAAAAAATTAATCTTAAATAACTTTTTACCTATGTTGCTGCTAAAATAAATGTTGAGTTCTGCCTGTATAGTATTTTTGGATTTAATCTGCGGGAAGAGAAATAGATTACTTTCTGCATCATTGGGTGCCAAGTACTCTACTTCCAAGAATAAATATAGCATTTTAGAAGAGTTTCCAAATTCTTTCTCTTTCTGGAAAAGTATATTATTTAAAGGCAGTGCAGTAGATTTCAGGAGATATTTTTGTAGCTCTTACCTTCACAAAATAAATATATATAAGTAGAATGAGCAATTAAAGTGATAGAATTTTATTGCATGTATAAATAAGCAAATAGGCCAAGAAAGGTCACATAGTTACTCAGCGACAGAGCTAAGACTCCATCTTGGAATCTCCTTTTATGGTTGCAGGTAAACTGAAAAAATGAATATCTGGAACCTTAGAAGAAGCTTTAGGTTTTTTAGTCTAAGTTATATCATTTGACTTTTTAGTCACTGGCTGTATGAGGTGTGGGCTATTAATATTAAGCTTATCTCTTTTTTATTTGTTAGGTCTTACTTTGGTGTCTGCTCCGCATCTGGCACGGTCTTACCATCATTTATTTCCTTTGGATGCTTTTCAAGAAATTCCCCTACAAGAATATAATGGGGAAAGGTATATGAATTTTGATTAATTTGTATCTGCTATAAGTGGTAAACATTATAGAAATGTTTGCATAGATTGTTACTACATTAAAAAAGAGAATCATATTATCTTGCACAAGATTAATCTAGAAAGTGCGATGTAGAATGCCTTGGTTATGACTGAAACGTCTTATTATTAAATAAGATCTGGGTCTCCAGAAATCTATTAGTTTTCCTAAACATGTTTATGTATAGTAAGAATGGTGGTGTGCAAAGATTAGACAGCCCCATAAAACAAAACGAGACTAATGGGGCACAACAGTTCAGGTACAAGGACTAGAAGGCAGGAGGGGACAGGAAAGCTGGTAATAGGAAACCCAAGATTGAGAAGGGACAGTGTTGACATGTCATGGGGTTGTTAACCATTGTCATAGGGCAATATGTGTACTAACTGTTTAATGAGAAACTGTTTTATAAACCTTCATCTGAAGTACAATTAAAAAAAGAAAAAAGCATGATAGTATGCTGGTAAAGCAGTTCCCCCCAAAAAAAGGAAGAAAAAAGCCCTGATTTTTAGTGTTTGCTACTTCTGTGGATAAATACTCTCACCATGGCAAATTTCTAGCTACTGATAATTTAGCAATCAGCTCTCAAAACTTCTGTATATTTCCCAATCGACCCTCTTGAGCTTGTATAATCCAGCTCTAGCACGCCATTAAAAATAAGAGACAGACATAACGTAATTGACCTTGTTGTTAGATTCAGTCGAGTTGGTTCTGACTCATAGTGCCCCTATGTAGAACGGAACAAAACACTACCCAGTCCTGCGCCATACTCACAGTCATTGTTATGCTTGAGCCCGTTGCTGTAGCCACTGTGTCAGTCCATCTCATTGAGGATCTTCCTCTTTTTCGCTGACCCTCTAATTTATCAAGCGTGATATCCTTCTTCAGGGACCGATCCCTCCTGATAACATGTCCAAAGTATGTGAGATGTAGTCTCCATCCTCGCTTCTAAGGAGCATTCTGGTTGTACTTCTTCCAAGACAGATTTGTTTGTTCTTTGGGCAGTCCGTGGTATATTCAATATTATTCGCCAACACCATAATTCAAAGGTGTCAATTCTTCTTTGGTCTTCCTTATTCATTGCCCAGCTTTCGCATGCATATGAGGTGATTGAAAATACCATAATTGATCTAGATCCCGGATATTAATAAAACCCTGTATTTTTATTAGTGTTATGCTGTGAAATCTCACTAATAAAGTCTGAAGTAGGGATGGTTAATCTGAGTTATAGAGTAGATTTAGGAGAATGCAGATTTACTACTGTTAAGAACATCCAGGATTCAGGAGCCATGCTAAACACTTATTGAATAGCAGATAATTGTGTATTCATCCACTTTGCTTTTTACACTTAAAAAATATTTGTTGGAAATCATTTTATATGGCATATTTAGATCAATTTAATTATTTGAAATCATTACACATTCCATGAAAGTATCATGGTTTATATCACTAGTTGCCTCCTTGTTGGATATCTAGGTGATTTCTTTTATTATTAGAAAATAATGCTTATATCTATGTCTTTGAACATTTGTGCAAGTATGTATGCATAATAAATTCTTATAGGTGGAATTGCTGAGTCAAAGACTGCGTATATTTTGTAAACTTTGAGAGAGATTTCAAAATTGTCCTCCAAAGGGTTTCATTTGCTCTTTTCCCACACTTGGACAGCCTTATGCAGTATGAAACTTTTTGAATTGACCAGATTTGACAATTAAAAGCAAGTTGAACATATCAAGAGGAGATTTAGACAACTCAGAGAAAGGCTGGAGCTGAATTAGTGATTGACCATCTTTGGGAGAATTGAAAAATAGTCACTCAAATCATTTTCTGTAGGGCTTAATTCTCTTATACAGCCTCATTTGAGAAAGGATGCTAAACTATGGCATGTTTAACCTTGATGGAAATAAAAACTAAAAAAAAAAAAAGTAGGAAATCAGGCTGTCAGTTGACCTTGGCACATAATGTGGAATTATTAAGACTTACTGGTATTCTTAACTCTTTATACTAAAAGTCATTGTAAAAGATAATTACTTATTAATTAAAGGGTTCTAGTGGCATACGAGAAACCCTGGTGGCGTGGTTAAGTGCTATGGCTGCTAACCAAAAGGTTGGCAGTTTGAATCCACCAGGCGCTGTTTGGAAACCCTATGAGGCAGTTCTACCCTGTCCTCTAGGGTTGCTATGAGTCGGAATCGACTCGACAGCAATGGGTTTGTTTTGTTTTATTTTTTTAGTGCATAGTGGTCAGCTGCTAACCAAAAGATCAGCAGATCGAATCCACCAGCCACTCTTTGGAAACCCTACAGGGCAGTTGTACTCTGTCCTGTAGGGTCACTATGAGTCGGAATCAACTCGACGGCAATGGGTTTTGGTTTAGTTGCTTAGAAAGAGCCCAGGTGGCTCAGTAGTTAAAAATGCTTACCTGCTAACCGAAAGGCTCTGTTGGAACCCACCAATGGCTCTGTGGGAGAAAAGACCTTGTAGTTTGCTCTCATAAAGATTAGAGCCTAGGAAACCCTATGGGGCAGTTCTTCCTTGTCCTATAGGGTCACTATGAGTTGGAATCAACTCGATGGCACACAACAACAGCAACACAACAACAATTATTGAAATCTTTTATTTTTTCTTATTTTTACATTTGAATTTTATTTTATTGTGCATTAGGTGAAAGTTTACAGCGCAAATTAGTTTCTCATTCAAAAATTTGTACACAAATTGTTTTGTAACATTGGTTGCAATCCCCAAAATGTGTCAGCATTCTCCACCTTTCTACCCTGTGTTCCCCGTGTCCATTCGTACAGTTTTCCTGCCCTTTCCTGTCTTCTCATCTTTGCTTTTAGGTAGGTGTTGCCCATTGGTCTCATATATTTGATTGATCTAAGAAATGCATTCCTTACCTATGTTATTGTTTGTTTTATAGACTTGTCTAATCTTTGGCTGAAAGGTGGACTTCAGGAGTTGCTTCAGTTCTGAGTTAGCAGGGTGAATGGCGATTATTAAGATCTTGTTGAACTACTTTTTATGAGTGAATTCTAAACAAAATGATTCTTAAGCTTTCTTTTTCAGATTTTGTTATGGATGTCAGGGAGAATTGAAAGACCAACACGTAAGTTTATTTGCTTTCTAAATATTAAGTAATATGTAGGAAATATTAAGGAAGTGGTATTATAATAAAATTTCAATTGGTTATTTAAGGCCGGATCCATATCAGGTTATTCTTTAGAAGTATACTGTATTTTTATGCAAATAATGTACGACTTGTATGTTTGTTTGCCAACTGCACCCTCCCCCCCCCCCGAGGTATTTTCACTGGAGGGTGCAGTTGGCAAACAGATGTAGAAGGTGTACTGTTATTTGCATAAAAATACGGTAATTACAGTGGGTAGAGATGAATTGGGAGCAAAATAGTAGTTTTGTCCTTCTGTATTCTAATTTTGCTATAAAGATGTTTTAGGACTTTAAACTATGTTCTGTTTGCAAGCTAAACTACTTTTAATTAGGACGTATTAAAAGTTTTTTTGTCCATATTGTACTTTAGGCTTTGTCATAACTCATATCATTTACGGTGGCCACAGATGAAAGATGATTTCTCCATTGTGCCAATGAGAAAATGTTTTTTAAAATTTTTTGAAGAGGTCTATTTGAATATATAAACTCTCAGAGAGGCAAATAAAATAGATCACTGTTACTTTTAATTTTTTATTAATTTAGTTATGTGTCCATATTTAAAACTATGTAACATATTAATTAGAAGTATTGCTTGTTTATTCTGCTCTCACATTTCATAAACAATTATATTTAAAAATTTTACATGCCTCTTTGATACCAGTAACTTCATACTCAACTAGAAGTACTTTTTGAATCACTTGACAGTTTTTAAGAACACATCATCCTTTGTTGTTTGAGATGTAATAATTTTTTAATCTGTTTATGATGATGCTCTTGGAAAGTTACCATATATGTAATACTGATAGAACAGTGGGTTTTATTTCTTTTTGTTTATCTTATATTTGTCATGTTCTTGAAAGGCGTGATTAAAAGGAGAAACAAACTTTTGCATTGTGAGGTCATTCCCTAGAAATAAACTAAATCTCTGTTAAATTTCTGTGTTTCTCTTTTTAACTGAATCAGTCAGGTGATTTCTCTAAGTGTTCAAAACTAGCTCTGTGGCAACCAGTGTCACAAAACAATGTGTATTGATTGTTTAATGGGAAACTTACTTGTTCCATAAACTTCACCTAAAGCACAATTAAAAAAAAAACTAGCTTTGATTAAGCTCATGTGTCTTCCCCAAATAGTTGTTTAAAATGAAGTAATTGAGAGTGCCCTATAATACAAGAGACTTTAAGGACTCAAAAATAAAGTCATTCCCTCATTTTCAAGGGATCATTTTGGGAGGGAAAGTACATTGCCTTAGATTTGAGGATATATAGTATAGTGGAAGTGATAGGTAGGTGGGGAAAAGTTGATAGTAATATTAAAGAGCAAAGCAACTTGAATATTTTCTAGCTCTGCTGTACTTTTAGAAATTATTTTTACTTATTCACTTTTCTTTTTTTCACTTCAGGTCTATGTTTGCAGTGTGTGCCAAAATGTTTTCTGTGTGGACTGTGATGTTTTTGTTCACGACTCTCTCCACTGTTGTCCTGGCTGTATTCATAAGATTCCAGCTCCTTCAGGTATTTGATTCCAGCATATAGTACACATTGTATGTGTTAATAAAAGAAATTTGCAAGTTTAAATACAATGATTCTTTAGAAGAAGCTCTAATTAAAACGTAAAGAATAATTCAGAAGGAAAACTTGATTTAAGAAACTTTTTCCTAAGGAAGTATAATATTTTTATTAAATTTTTTATTTGTATCCTATCACAGAAACAACTGGAACTCAATAGTACTTCAGTCAGTTAATTTTGTTTTCTGTTATTTTGAGTCATGATGTTTTAAAAGTCATTGTGCATTTATGTAAATACAGTAGTATTTAAATTACTTGTAATGATCAAATTGATGTGATAATTTCATTGTTTTATAATTAAAATGAATTCAGAATATTTATGATTTATTTTAATTCGTTTTTAGTGGAAGAAGAAAATTAAGTATAAATATAAATTCAGTGTAAGATGAAAATTAATAGTTATGAAATTAATGCATATGACATGATATACTGCTACACCCACCAGAAGGGTCTTTTTAGGTTTAACTAAACATTCAAATAATAAAATTAACACATATGAAATTATTTGCTGCTATGGCCAACAGGGGTCTTTTAGGTTTAAACATTCAATCTCACAAGACTTCCATGGCCACACTTGACACCAGTTTACTCAAAAGAATATTAGGAACATGAGCCTGCCAGTAGTCCTCGTTAGCAGCAGAAGTCCTTGTAGCAGAGCTCAAAGTACAGTTTAGGTACAAGGAGATGAGAGCCTCCCCAGGTGTCAAGGAGCCAATATCTCTTGTAACAGTTCCATACAAATAGCTTCAAGGGTTGCCACAAGGGATGTGTCAGTTTCTAGAGTCACTACACTCAGGGAAGCCCACAACGTGGTATCCCCATCATATTATTTATAGGGCATTGTAAAAATGGCGTGACAGCGTCAGACGTCTTAACTTCATAAGGCGGGAGAATCAACATCAGCCCAGGACTGATTCCTCTGAGGTGAGGGTCAAATATACCTCCACCTTCCAACGTTTTTACCAAGTCTGACACCAGTCATCCCTCCTTCGGCACTCTACTTCTCTTCTGGGTTTGATAATTTGTTGCAATGGCTACATAGAACGGTAGTCACAGAGGGTTTATTAGGGAAGTAACAGGTTACAGTTCAGGATCAGAAAAACTCAGGATACGGTTCTTCGGTCAGGACAGCTTCTTGGCTGTGCTTGCAGGCAGGCCTCTCTTTCAGCTCTTAGCCACTCAGCCCCTTTGGCACCTTGGCCTGGACTCAGCCCTGCTCAGGCAAGTGTTACAAAGCTCTTTAGCTCCGCCAGTGATTGCCAGGAGGCACCCCACCCCGCCAGCAAGTCTCCTGCCTAAAGGCACTCAGCTGTCTCGCTTCATGGGTCTGCACGCCCACTGTAGTTGTCTTACTCCATGGGCCGGGAAGCCCACTGCACTGTCTCGTGCCAGTCTTGTGGTTCTGCTGCCACCGTTTCTCTCCGCCTTTCTTGCCACCGCTTTTCACTGTCTCCAGTGTTACAGGCTCTCTCTCTTTCCTGGGTCTAGGAGGTTCTCAGCGCAGAGACCTCTGGTCCAAAGGACACGCTCTGCACCTAGCTCTTTTTTCTTGATGGTAGTGAGGTCCCTCTTTGGTTATGGGATTGGCTCCCTTTAAGCCTAGCAGGATGGCAAAACTGACCAATCCCCTTATTAGGGTTCCATATACCCTATTTGCATGGTCCCACCCCCATAAGGGTTCCATGCACCTTATTTGCATTATTAGCAGGCTGTCCAATCCCATTGGTGGGCCACATGCACCTTTTTTGCATACTCCCACCAAATCATTTTGTGAGAGTCACAAGACCATGTGTGGTTAGAAGGACCATATTAAGTAATTTACTATACCACATGCATCCCAGTCCAGATAAAATCTAGTAATCAGAAGTCATTTTTAGTATAAGCAGAGTTGTCTAGAAACATAGTTGACATTCTTATTTTTATCAGGTATCACTGGCAGCAGAGCTAGACAGTTAAAATGAAGGTGAGTTTCAAATGTAGCAAGGGGAAGAGTTCTGTTGACCTTTTCACTCTCCTATGTTAAACCTATTGCTTCAAATTTTATTCTAATAATTGGTATTTTACTTAAGAGAGAATGTCTAATACCGACATTTTGGTTGTATTCTGAGACTGGTTTACCTTATGGTTCAGGCTAATGAAGCCAAAGTTGTGGTGTCTATCCCTGTTAGCCTCACTCAGTTTCATATGCAGGAACTATTTAACCGTCTTCAACTTTCCCACTCTTGGTCATCAGAGAAACATGGGTGAGAATGTATAATGAGGTCTGTGTTTCAGGTTCAATGCAGATATTCCATTGTAGGCAGAACTCTTCTCTGGGTATATCCTGTTGATAGTAAATCAGGCTTATATAGGTATGCTTATTTTAAATTCATAAACTTTAGTCACTGTAGAGTGAGTTTCACTGTGAAATTCACGATTTTTTTTTTTAAATTATTACATTATTTTATTGTCATAATGTGTTAACATTTTCATTATTTCTGTTCTGGTTGTTCCTTTTCCATTAATCTAGCTACCCTCCGCCTCCCACTTCCTTACCTTTTCATCTTTGCTTTAGGGTAAGTATTGACCATTTGGTCTCATACAGATGATTTTTTAAAGGAGCACAGTACTCACAGGTGATACTGTTTAGTTTATGAGCCAATCTGTTATTTAGTTGAAGAGTGACTTCCGGGAGTGGTTGCAGTACAAAGTTTAAAGGGTATCTCAGGGCAGTAGTCTCGGGGATTCCTCTAATCCCTACCAGTCCAGTAAATCTGACCTTTTTTTTTGTTTTGTTTTGTTTATTGTTGTAGTTTAAGTGAAAGTTTACATTTCAAGTTAGTCTTTTATACAAAAATTTATACCTATATTGTTATGTGACCCTAATTGCTCTCCGTATACTGTGACAGCACACTCCTCCTTTCCACCCCTGATTTCCCATGTCCATTCAGCTAGCTCCTGACTCTGTACCTTCTCATCTCACCTCCAGACAGAAGCTGCCTGTTTAGTCTCATGTACCTACTTCAGCTAAGAGGCACACTCTTCACGAGTATCATTTTATGTCCCACAGTCCAGTCCAATCTTTGACGAGCTGGCCTCGGAAATTGTTAAATCTGACCTTTTTAAAGAATCTGTGTTTTGTTCTACATTTTTCTCCCATTCTATCTGGGACCATCTGTTGTGTCCTGTTCAGAACAGTCAGTAGTGATAACTGGGCACCATTTAGTTCTTCTCATCTCAGGATAGATGAGGCCATGGTTTGTGTAGGTTATTAGTCCTGTAGACTAGTTTCTTCTTTGAGTCTTTGCTTTCCTTCTTTCTCTTTTGCTCCAGACAAATAGAGACCAATAGTTGTATTTTAGATGGCTACTTGCAAGCTTTTAAAGCTGCAGACACTACTCACCAAACTAGGATGTGGAACATAAACTTTATGGACTATGTTAAGCCAGTTGACCAAGTTGTGCCACAAGACTATGGTCCTAAGCCTTCAAACCCTGTAAACTAATCCCATGCGGTGTTTGGTTACGTCTAGGAAGTATCTATAACTGTGCTCCCTATGTGCTTTATTATATATGAATAATATGCAGCACACACTTATATATGTATACGTATGCTTAGAGATACACCTATACGTGCACACGTATTTACACACATACACCTTCCATGCATACATATCCCCCTATGTAACCACACGTTTTTTGGTTGTTGTTGCAAAAATGTATATGTTACAGCATTTACCAAAAACGTCCCTTATTCTTGTGTACTTTTTAGTGTAATCATTTATCTTGCTCCAGTTGTGTGTACTTCACCCACATTCAGTAACCTTACCTTTCCCATCACCAGAAAAAAACACACGTATCTGCTATCTAGAGACACACATAACTGCATTGGGAAAATCTGCTGCAAAAGACCTCTTTAAAATGTTAAAAAGCAAAGATGTCACTCTGAGGACTAAGGTATGTCTGACACAAGCCATGGTATTTTCAGTCGCCGCTTCTGCATGTGAAAGCTGGACAATAAATAAGGAAGACCGAAGAAGAATTGATGCCTTTGCATTATGGTGCTGGCAAAGAGTATTAAATATACCATGGACTACCAGAAGAATAAACAAATCTCTCTTGGAAGAAGTGCAGCCAGAATTCTCCTTAGAAATGAGGATGGCAAGAATTTGTCTCACATATTCTGGACATGTTATTAGGAGGGACCAATCCCTGGAGAAGGACATCATGCTTGGTAAATGTATGATGTCAGGCATAAAAGTATAGAGGGTCAGCGAAAAAGAGGAAGACCCTCAATGAGATGGATTGACACAGTGGCTGCAACAAAATGGGCTCAAACATAGCAATGATTGTGAGGATGGCTCAGGACTGAGCAGTATTCCTTCTGCTGTCATAGGGAACCCACGTGAGGGCACCTAACAACAACAAACAACATAGCTAGACAGTGATTCCTCCTCCCTCTCCCTCCCATCCTAGGTAACCACCAATGAATGTTGATTTCTGTATATATACCTATTCTTGTCTTTTTATAAAACTGTGATTATACAATATTTGTCCTTTTGTGATTGGAAATTCACGATCTTATAACGACAGTTCCTAGTAAAGACAACGTAATTCCACCCTGGAGAGTCTATTCAGTACATCTTGGGTGGGGCCCAGGAATATGCATTTTTAAAAAGCAAAAAAAAAAAAAAAAAGAAAGACATAATGTGGCTAACCTAACAGATCTTTTTCTCCCAGGAGTCATATTCTCTGAGCCTAGACCTAATGGTTATTAACATGGGAACAAATTTCAGCTACAGGTAACTCGTTAACTATGGTCTTCCTTCCTTTGTTCTGTCTACAGAAGTGTCAGTGGCTTGTAAAAGGGGCCTTCATTATTGTCAAAGTGTTCTATTTCCTCCTGTCTGGCTTAGAAGGAAGTCCTTGAGAGGTCACCTCTTAAATCATTACTAGAACTTTATTAGAGACACACCCTCCCTACCTGATATAAAATGGACATCCAAGGCCCTTTTTGGCTGCTTTATCTCTAAAGCTTTGAGTTTCAGTTGCATGCTTGATAAGGTTAAGGTTATTCAGTTATGCTTAAGAAGGAGTTTTCTTTCTCACAATTTATAGAGAAAATCCTGGTTTAAAAATATAGAAATGGTGATGTAAGGCTATTAGTTCTGGCCTTGAATTTCCCTCTTCAGTATACTACACAATATATGGTAATAGTGAAGGAAACTAAGTTAGAGATATTTCTTAATAGTATGTCTGTCTGAGATCTGCTGTTGGGTTAAATAGAAAGCTCACTTCTTAATAAAATTCATTATGAAGATTAGATTTATTTTAAATACTTTCAGATGCGTACCTTTTTCCTTCATGTTCTTTCTTTTTTTTTCCTTCATGTGTATGTCATATTCTTTTTTATTCTGTCTTAACAATCTTTGTTTTTTAACTGAAGCATTTAGTCTATTTTTATTTAATGTGCCTACTAATGTATTTGGGTTTAAATCCACCAGCTTATTTTGTGTAATTTGTTTCAGCTATTCCATGTTTCTTTTTCTTTTCTTTCTCACTTTTTTTTAAAAGATTGATTAATTTTAACCATTCTGTGTTTTTCTTCAACTAGTTTGGAAATTGTCCACTCTATATTTTTCCCCTTATATTTATTTTATTTTTTTATTGTGGTAAATATATAGGTAACAACATTTGCCATTTACAATCTTCACATGTAAAGTTCATTGAGATTAATTACGTTCATCATGTTGTTCAACCATCATCATTATCCATTCCTGAAT